TTCAAGGTGGCTGAATAAAGCTTCATATCATCGGTATGTTTTACAAGCACTTTCGTTTCAGAGGATCCACGAATGGAATTTCTGGTGATGGGGAGTGCATTTCCAAATTGGCGTTTGATTATTGAAGGCGCGTCTACAAATGTCCTCGGGGTTAGAGGATTGTGCAGAGTCGAATGGCTTTGACAAACGCATGTCCATGCATCTAAATAAGGTGACCTGCCGTGCTTATGGCTACAATTTAATGAAAGCCTTTGCAATGAAGTTGTATGGATAAAAAGTGGGGATTCGTTGAAACCTCAAGCCGAAATGGCAGGGTGTTGCAGCAGGGAGAAAGTGGGCGTAGTGGAGACAATTTAGTCTGGCAGACTGCTGCGGTGGTGTTAGTAAGCAAGCTGTTACTTCACTGGGTGAAGAGGGTCATAGTTCACCGCATAGAGAAAACTGGAATATCCACAGCCAGGTGAGCAAGTCATTTACTAATTCCTCTTCCTTAAAAGGGATATTTACAGTTCAAAATCTGCATGAGGGTATCGAAACTTGCCTTAAATGTGGCAGCATATATATCTGTACATTTCTTGGTAAATTCTTTATTTCGAAATACACTTTTAATCAAGAAACAGTTAATTTTGACCGAAAAATTTATTAAGAAAAGTACTAACGAAATCCAAGCATTTTTCGTAATTTATGTATATCTTTTCCTATTTTTTCACGTTTCTGTCAAAGAATGGCACTCACGCTGCAAAGTAGAGGTAAAGTCACCTTCCATTCCATTCTTTCTCGTACATTCATGCCCACTCTCTTTTTTTAGTAGTCTTCTTTGCCACTATTCATTGTGATGAACGCTGATACTTTTCTCTGTCCATTTATGACAGTGACAACCCGAGATGTTACTTATGCTATTTTGTGCTTCATGACCCTAACTAGTTTACACACATTACTCGTATAGAACATGGAATCTGGTGGCAAAACACCCCAGCAAGGAGACCCCTAATATTTTATTTGTCGCGGCTAGCTGGGTGGGCAGCCATTCTTTCGAAGAAAAATAGCAGCAGTAGCGTGCGACAAAAAATGGAAGTAGTGCCTTCTTTTGGTACTACAGACAACAATGGTAGCAAAATCAAAGAAGGAAAAGGAAACCAAACTGAGCAAAATGGGTAGAAGTCACTGATTGTACCAATTCTGCTAAAGTCATTTGCCATGACGGCGATGTAGAATAATGTCCTTTGCTCTTTGTGGGATCTATGCACGTTTCTTCATTTTCATCACCAAAATAACAGAATGGTCTCTAATTAGTAGTTAGGATGTCTGGGAAGCTATGAAACTGCATGCTGATTACTCCAAAGGAAAGCTTAGGAGCAGTTAGGCTAAAACATACAATAAGGCAAGTCTTAAAAGCCATATATATCGGCAAAAATATAGACTTGAGAATATCGGAAATGCAGTCAGTACGTATGCTGATCCTCATTGGTGTGCCTGTTACACTGTTTCTTCTTTTTCCAAATTCGAAATCTGTACCCCGAGAACCTCTTATCGCTCATCTCAGCATCCGTATTTGGCATTTTAACATTGCCGCAGTGCATTTTTACAGGAAAGTGAACATTTAAGAAAGTAAGTAAGCCTTTTGCGTAAGATTAGCATAAGGCTCATTTTCATATAAAGGCCTTAAAAACCACTTGATTAAGGGATTTGGGCGTTCATTTTAAGAATGGAGTCTATTTTGCAAAAGTATAGATTCGCACTATTAACGAATCAGTATTTGATTAGAAGTGGCTGCCTGATCACTAGTGCTTTGTTAAGCTACTTAAATAGATATAAGTAGCAGAGCACGGCTAAAGAATTTATTGGCGATCATCTTACACCATTTACAGAATTAATTTAAAACTCAAAGTTTATTAAAAGACTGCTTGACGCGTACTTAAGTAGCGTGAACTCTACCAAAAACGTCTTTATATGGGGCACCGTTAGGATAGATGTTTAATTTTTAAAGTTGCTGGGTTGATGGGGACTCGGTGCTTTCACCTCTTAAAATACGAACACTCTTTCCTTAAAAGTAGAACAAATGGCTCATAAATAGCTGCGTAAGTTTATCAAAATGTTATAAATTTAGAGTTCTCTAAACCGAGGAGTACCGTTAGTGAGCTAGCCAAAACAATCATAATTTATGTTTCTTATTTGATAACCCTTTCCATTAAAATCTGATCATGAACCATAGGTTATCACTCACAGGATTTAATTTGATCAAAATCAAGGCCAGAGGATTAGGTGATTTAGTGTTAGTGTTAGTGGCTGCAGACTTGAAGTAAATGAGAGCTACTGCAATAATTGAGATACCTGGCAGATTTTAAATTAAGGGGTGCAAAATATATTAATATAAAAGTATTACCTTTTTTCCGGCAACTTTTTAAAGCTTGTTAGACCCTTAAATATGTATCTCGACAGTTACTTTGTTATTACTTACAATGGGGTAGTAGAATGATTATTTCTGCTCTTCTGTCTCCGCCTGTGCAGCCGCCGTTTCATTATCTTGGAATTAGTTCTATCCCTGTAATTTCTTTAGGCTTAAAAGGGATTTATCACACCTTTATGTATAACCCAAAGCGGCTTATTATTGGTAGAGGCAGAAAAACAATCTAAACGAGTAGCAGATATGACCCAATTGGCTAAATAAAAGGTTCAAGTGTCGCAAAAGGAGGACAACTGCCGTAAGAGCTTGGCTTTGTGGTGAAACAATAGGAATGTTAGCTATTGGGATAACGATACCAAAAACTGCACAAAACGCTTTTGCCAGAACAACTAACATAAGGAAATATGTCTTGATAGGTCGCCGTAATCAACAATAGGCTACGGCTTGAGCAAACATGTCTTATTTGCTTTGCGATGCGAAACCACTATTTTTGCGCTTATGTAGTGAAGTGAGGCATTAATCAAGATCCTTTTCACCGCAAGTCTTCCTAAAGTTATGAGGAAAATTATTAGAACTGTTAGCCAAAATGATAGTCCTCAAAAAGTAAGGCAAAACTAAAAAAGGTGGATTACTTTTAAATTTTATCAATCTTTCGAATTTCACTTTTTCTTTGTGCCTGAAATCAGAGAGAAATTCTGGTTCTCTTGAAGAAATTTGTTAGCAGAAAGTCACTTAAGGCATATAGGCTGAATGCAGTACACTGTCTTATCTGATAGTCAAAAACAGTATTATTCGACTATTTTACTTGATAAGTGCAATGAAATCCCACCGACCTGCCTTGAGTTACCGCAAACAAAACGACCTTCTCAATTAGCTACTGCTTAATAGTGAAGTAAAAGCAGTCATTATTAAAAAATCCACAACTTTTAAAAGCTGTACAACTTTATGCATAATTTTGTTAGCTTATAATTTAAAAATGTTGAAACCAAAGGATTATGTCATTTTCATTGTGTGGGCTCTTGCATTGAACAATTAATTCCTCTTAGTTTTTAATTCAAAGACTAAAATTTTATAGGACGAAGCATTATTTATCATTACAACTTGGAAAAAATTAAAAAAGTGCCCTAACTTAAGGGATCCGTAGTTATATAAAATATATGTGACTCGGATTTCATCAAAGCATATAATCATTTGCGAACTTTTGCAATAGGATCAGTGTTACTTTTTTTTGATTCAGTTGTTTCACCAGCGGATAAAGCAGATGGATTAAACGAGACCATGTTTACTTCGGTACCGGTAAATAAAGGGGTACAGATATCACGGCTAAGCGTGTTCAATGTACCCCTTCTCCTAGGGAGCCAATGGCATCAGATCATTCACGAGGTTCACATTTGCTGGTATCCAAATAAATATTTATTTAAGTTATGTTACAATTCTGTTTGAATCAGCGACATTTGCTGTTGTAGTCTAAAGTTTCTGTGTGTGGGCACCTATCCTATTGTACTGCCAATTGGGGGAACTAGTAGACTGAGAAATCTATACAGACGCCTTTCTTTACCGAGGAGTAAGATACAATAGAAGATAGCGGTGTGTGCTTACGTGGGTGCTAGTGGGCTGATAGAGGCTCGGGATTGTTCACTAATCGCATATTTCCAATGCTTTAAATAGCGTTGACTTTATCGTGATTATAAGTCTGCATAGAGTAGGTCAATAAGACAAACTCAGAGAAATCCCAAACATGAAGTAGACCGGAACGTCCGAGTATCATATTCGCAAAAGAATCTTCGTAAAGTTTATGGCGGGTCCTTATTCTGGGTTCGTATATGCACATAGCAATCATGTGAAGTTTAATTAAAAGGGGTAAATAAAGAAGAGATATTTATCAGCCTAAATATTAACTTTACTTTCAAATGGCTACGTTTGTACGGAGTTTGTTGCTAAACCAATGTTACATAGATATTTTGAAGAATATAAACGTTAGATGAAAGCTGCAAAAGCTTAACTTCAAACCCACTACTCTTGTACAGGGCTTTTTCATAATGATTTAAAATAGGCGCTAAATCTGGAATCAGGAATAGAGAGGTCAACCCAACGTGCTTTCACGCACTGACGTTTTATTAAAAAGGTGCCAATAAAGGCCAATTTGTAAAGTATAAAGGCGGTCAAGGTTGGAGAGGGTGAAAAGTCGCCTTTCGTTTATAACGATGAATAGAGAGGGTCGCAATGGCAAGAGGAGGGGGCGGAAGACCGCAGCAGATGCATCAGTGACAGTGCGGTGGGCTAAACTCATGAGAAGACTGAAGACCCTATAAACAAACATCTCAAAGAACATTAAAGAAGTGCCACACCATCACAGCCTCAGTAACATTTGTGTACCAGTGGTATCAACACTATCATTCATTGTTCCGGGGTGCATTATCTTCAACCCGGCGCCTCCTCCTCATGTTGGCATGACAGCAGACATCTCTAGTCACAACTAAAGACCAAGCCCCACTCAAAAAAAGCATTGGTTCTCCAACACTACTCTTTACCAAGTGTTAGAAGTCAAAAGTATGTGACCTCTGTGTGTCAAAAATAAAATTCTTAAGACATCACAATGTCTGACACGTATGGAACAAGCAACTGGCTCAAACTCCATTCTTTATTTAGCTTGTGAACACTAGAACAGGTGGCCGAATTCACCCAAAACTACCCCTCATACAAATTTCCAAAGCTGTAAGCTATGTTATTTATCTAGATGACTTTTTTATGAAGTAGTTTTTTTATCAGATTATTACACCAGGAAAAAGAGGTTATGAGAGGTGGTTAGAACCTTTATAAATCCTCATTAAAATATATCTCAGGATGGATAGATAGAGAGCAGATATCCATTTCTGTCTTTTATGAAACTCGAATGTTTTCCCATACTCACACTGAAAAGCGACTGAACAACGACTGTATGAGAAATCTTTAGTGTCAAATCATCAACAATGCTCTGATTACCTAACTACCAAGTGATATCAAATGCCAATGGATCTTTATTGCACAATCCGTCCCTATTTTTATACATTTAAAGGTTGTGAGCATGGTCATTCCTTCCAGAATGTGTCTCAAATAAAGCAGTCTTATTTACGAAGCGCAGATTACCAGACTTAGAAGCTTTTGCTATCATTTTTTGGAAAACTGTGGCACATACCTTTGAAAACTACTCTATTATTTTAAGTCAAGCCAAGACTTATTTTGAGTAGCGGAAATTTCACTTTATCTTGAAGGTCTCCTGCTTTATTGGCGCACTTCTCTTATAGATAGGTCTTCGATTTCATCAAGATCAGCCTCGGACACTCAATGATCATAATTAACAAGAATGGACTTTCCTACGGAAAGATTAATCTTTTGCAAACTCTCATGGGAGGATGTGCATCCGCAGTCGCTAATGGTGGGATTCCACGTAGAGAATGTCTAGAGGGTTGGTGGAATTTCAACCACTAGGGGGAGAAGCACAGCTAGGGTATGGTCGTCTTTAAAGCGCTTATACCCTACAATTCAGTTTGGCTTCTATTTACCGCACTGTGCTTGAAGTCTAAGAAAAGCGAATGCTTAAGCTTTTCTACTTTCATTAACAAGAAACTTGGTTTATTGGTACGTGACTTTTTATGCACTCACAAAATCTAAACTAAAGTACGTCAGAGTGTCTGTCTATTACCAATAGTCTGGTTTGACACTGGCTGGTGGGGTAAGCCACCTTGGAAGCGTCCTTTTGTACTTGCCAATTTAAAATTTTTAATATGGCCCATATGTCTATTTTTGGCATTTTTGCGAAACTGAGCGTTTGTGTCGTAGAGTTGGACACTGGGTCAGATGGTAAACGTTGCGTAAGGTCCTGTCAAGTCCTTGATATTTGGCTCAGTGTTGGAGGGGCCTAGCGAGAATGCAAATGTGGGGTGGAAAAGGGCGCATGAACTTAAATTGGATTATTTTTGCACAAGTTTAACTGCAAATCAGATGTCATCGGTGCTTTTAATTTCCTTAATTAACTTTCAAAGTGGTCTTAACTTGTACAGTTCTCTAAGTACTTTTGTGGATCTTACACAAAACCACTTTTATTTACAGCTTTACTTACGAAGGTGCATTTGCAGAGGTGTCACGCCTCGGAACTTTCCTGAAGACGAGAGAAGACATAATACCGAGGCAGAATATGTATTATAGACGAGCAGTAGGTCTTTGGGGCCGCTTCCAAGGTCCGAAGGCTACCCCTTTGGGCAGAGGCACTATGGCGGAGACAGAAATTTGCCCGTTACCCAAACCGAGAGTTAAAGAAACAGCACACTACGAAGGTACGACGTAATCATAGACCAATTCACACCACTTTCTACAGATGCCATATGTCTCCACATACCCGATTATCTATCTCCTCAATATTTTTAGCGTCAGCCAATTATTACTTATTTTGCGCTCTACTTAGCTGTGCAAATTAACGCCATTTGATTGCAAATCACAATAATTTACAATGAAATCGCATGTATAAATACCTATGGGGGCGGTACAATGCACAAAATGTATTACCTACCAGTTTTGGTAAGCGATTGAACCAAATATTATGCCGCAAGTGGATGGCTTAGGCTAAAAACAGCAAAATAGATGGGCAGAAATCGGCTAGTTGATATTTTTAGAAATTTCAGAATATCAGTTAACTGAATTAGTGACTGGGCTTTTTCCTCAATGGTTTTAATCAATTGCTACATTTGAAATCAGCCAATCAGAAATCGAGAAGTCAATCACGAATGCATGCACCCTCCGACACATTCCATCAGCAAAGGTCGCCTTGTAATGTATAAGATCGATTTGGGAAAGATTTAACAGTCAAAGACTGGAATTCCCTTTGACACTTTATTATTGGACAAAGAAAGTAATTCACCAAATTAATGCCATTGAAAGAAAGAGAGTAATTGTTTAATTACAATATGGTAATTACTGGTCTCCATGTTATTAAAGCTCATCAAAAGGTACGGCTCAGTGATGCAATAATTGAAACGACTGGTGTAACTAGATGAAAGATGGAGGCAGCAAAAGTTCATGCGCGTTAGGGATAAATTGCTTAAAGCAGCTCTAACAAACTTGGACCCAACTTCCGTACTGACTATACATTACCATAACGATACGCAATTTCATGGAATATTTGACTTTCCGAACCATTCCAGCCTCTCGTAATTTGAACATGATGCTGTTATGGTGGAGACCCATTCACATTGCTTAAGCTCCTAGTCACCTGACACTTTCAGTGTCTTGCTGATAGGGGTACTTTTACATTAAAACAACTTATAAAACCATCATAGCTGGTCTAGTTGCTGCGATGCCCAAGGAATTCATCACTTTAAGCAGTCTATTGCCTTAGTCTTTCAAAATCACAAGCATAAATTTATTTTTTAGATGGGGGACAGTGATCTTTGCCAAAAATTCCAGTCTGTGAAGTCTACTTAGTCATTTTGCTAACAAAGTTAATGATCTGCCAAAATCCGAGAGAAATTTATTCATTCACCTGCCTGTTAATCCCCACTTCTCAGTGAGAACGTTTTCACTACCTTGCAGCCTTATAAAACCTACAAATTTTGGGCATTTTTAGTGTTCATGTAGTTACTTCTGTACTGCTTTTTTTCACATCATTATCATAAGAAAACCAACTTGCAATCAAAGTTACCTTAATGATTCGAGATTAGTCAAGCTTCTACCATGGGCTTGAGCCCTCAAAACACTTTATTTTAGTATCTCCTAGGCATTTATTCACTGCAGTCAAAACAACTATCAACATCAACATTCCCGCATGAAACATCATCCCGATGGACTATGCTTTGGCATACAACACCTCAGAACTTGACCTGCTTAGAGGCAACTACATCTATTACAAATAATAATCCTGGCTAACAAACTATTCTGGCCATGAAGGTAGCCTTACCGAAACCTCACCGGCCGGTTGAGATCTTATTGAATCGCGGTTAGTGTTCTACTGAACCGGTCTTTTTCACTACCAGAAAAACATATTGGTGGCTGGTCTTAGGACGTTTCTGAAGGCCTACCAAGGCATACCAATACCGAAAAAAGTTATTTCTTTTTTAATGTACGGGTAGGGTGGGAGGATATAGGAGTGGAGTAATGATCACGCTATTAAGAAGGACCCGAATGATTAAATCTTGATTAAAATAGTTACAAGTTTAAAAGAACCCGCTTCTCCATTTCGCCATCATACTCTTCTAGTCCTTCCTCACCGCGGTTGCCCATTCGCTCCTGCCAACAACAGCTGGACAGCTTCGAAGATGACATGATGGAGTCACATCATAAAGGAATGCTACCTCTTAGTAGCAAAATCGTATTGTCTGGAAGAAATGCTGCATTGGAGAATGATTGCTTCTTGTGTCAGTGTCCAACACTGGACTATATTATACAATGAGCTTATTGGGCACAACAATTGCTTTTAGCAGTAACTTGTAGTAACCGGTTAGCAAAATCATGGCTGTTCATTTGTAGTGGGCATCCCTCATCACCATCACCACTGTTGCCTAAAATGCGCAATAGGAGATGACAGGATGATGAAAACTTGATATTAATTTAGAGATGGTCTTCAAGCCATAAGAATGAACGAATGTCCATGCATCCAAGTTGGTGGATAAACCCGCAAAGATAAAATAACCTACATATTCACTCAGATAAACAGTTAAAAGCAGCCTTTTCCAGTTTTGGCTTCATATAGCTAAGAATAATAATTGTAATAACCAAAATTACCTTAAAATAGTAATGACAGATGTTTGAGGAGGTTATGCGGGGCTTAAAATCTCTCATAGAGTTGATTCACACCGGGATTGCTGAGAGACGAATCGGTAGGCTAGTAGCAAGCCATACCTTTCTTGAGGGTGTCTACATCATTTCGGAGTGAACTTTGAAACGCTACTTGTCTGAAGCTCGTTGGCTGGGCGCGTTAGCAGAAAAGTTAGGATTTAACCATACAGGAATGAATAAATGGAACACGCTTACAGCATTTGTTATGGATTTTGACAAAAACTGAAACCTGAAAATAGCGAATAGGCTTACAGAAGCTCTAATTTCGAAGCTTGGTGCCTTTCTTATGCCGCATTTAGAATGCTTTATCATCATTACCATTCCAAAGATCAGTGGTTGTTTCTAGTCTTGTAAGAAACCGCATATCACCGTCGCATACAAGGTACGTGCGCACTGTACTGGTATGATAGACATATTGCAGGGGTATAACTGGCACCAATAACCTATCCAGTCTCCCAAGATTCAGCTACCTTGCTGATAGGGTAGGGCTATGCCCGTCCTACCCAGGTCTCTATCCCATTAGGTAGAGTACATTTTATTGGTGTAAACCCATTCAAAATCATATGCCTCAAAATTTCTTTAATGACAGTGTGGATGTCACATTTGTGGCAGCATTGGCTAAATTTAACACAAAGAGCAGCAGTTTTGGCTTTACTGAGACAGTTCAGGTCTATTGTCTCTTTGAGGCTCGATCTTTTGTCATATTTGAATAAATTGCCTCCATTACCATTGGTATTTACTTGAAAACCGTAGATTACGATCGTAAGCTATTGACCTCATGCCACCTTGATCGAAGAGATTCAAGGGATTGGGGTACTTACTCTAAAACAGATTTCCTTACTCGATTCGATTCCTCTGTCCTCTGTGAACATGATTATCCTCAGACACACTTACAATAAAGAAAAGGTCAATTTTGAATTTGTTGGCGTAAAACATTATAGTGAAAGTGTGGGATATTTGAATGGTAGGATTTGGTAAAACTCAAGTAAAGTGAAATAAAATTTTGGACATCCGCATACCCAGAAGTCCATTTTACATTCAGTAGTCGGGAATTTTCTAAACTGGAATCAAAAAATCATTTTAAGAAGTGGTTTGCTAAAGGGCAATCACCTACGTCCACAGTAAGATTATTAACATACTTATTTCCATTTTTCTCACAAATTCCACTTTTTAAAGCTTTAGCTCTTAAGGAGAACTTAGCCACCTTCATTTTCCGCTCATTTATGTCCCAACTACCCATTTTGTGTTTGAATGCCTAATGTAATGATAGAAATGCTCCCAAATTCGTAAACCTACCATCCTTCTGCCCTGTTAGTTACCCACGTTTTTGACCTGAGCACCTTTAACCGATTAACTTACTACAGGCTATGGTAGAGTTTGGGTAGATATTCAGTCAAGATTACGTATTTAGTTGCCTTAGGTGCATAATGAGGCCAAGGATATGGTAAATCTCGTGGAAAAGACAAAAGTGGAGTCGGTCACCTCAAGTACTCCGGCAAGATTAAGGATGTGGTAACAGTAATCCACCTACTGAAAAAAAACGATAGATTAAAGGAGTCTTGTGATTCATATGCCCGTTATATGGATTCCCTTCTCAATTCTTTGTTTCATAAAAGCAAGTTTTGAAGTCTATTACGGCTTTCAGCAGGTTAGTAAAGGAACCTATATTGAAATTCAGCACTAGGCTCATCGCAGTGCTCCATCCAACAAGGTGTAGAATGGAAAAGATCTTCAGATTGTTCACCAACGTAGTGGCTGAGACGTGGATACCAAACTCCTTCTTAGTGAAGATATGTGCAATTTGAAGTAACGCCAGAAGCAACAAACAGGTTCTTATTTGCTTCAGAAAGTGAGTTAATACACCAAAGAATAGGGCTACGGGCTTTATTTACACTTCGACTTAAACTCTGTTCACATATCGTTGAGTTGATTAATGATGGCTTGAAAAACATCTTGTGACAGTGGCAAAAACGATGTCGCGGCATTTTAGTCATCAGAATATACTTTGGCAAGTTGTGACTGGTTAACGGGACTAGTGATGTTGGAATCTACAGCAGAGACTACCAGTGACGGGTAAAAAATGGCTATCGAAGGCTCTTCGTCGACCTATTGCCTTATCTTTTTTGATAATCTTGGAGATTTAGGATTACAGTCGATGTCAGTGGATTTAATTCCATTAGCTTCTAGTTTAGTTAAAAGTTGCGATTTGTAAGCAAACCAAAAATTCCTAACAATTGAAAGCATTTTTACTTAATTTTTAAACTGTTGAAAGAAGTAATTTACAGGCTTTTCCTAACGCCTCATCGAAGAAACTGCCAGGTAATACCGAAGCAGAATAAGAAGTCTATAGGAATAGAAGTAACAGGTCATTACGTATGTTTTCTGCTAGTGGCAAGAACTCCGACCTAAAAGCAGGGTCATTTAGCAAAGAACGAGATCGAAATAGTTTTGGGTGGTTAGGGTTTCGCGTCTATTCCTCCTTGCCTCTTTGTTCATGCTTTAGTCCTCTCAAGCCATATCTATCAGGGTTTCATTCATTTGATGTAGAAGTGGAGAAGGCATCCAGTTTCCACTTGAACGACATCCTCATTCGGGTACCGCAGGCATTTATGCAACGAGCATTTTAGATCGTTCGCGGCTAGTGTCGCTTCATTCGTTAAAAGCCTTCCCACAGAACACAAGAACTAAATAGTTGCGAAGGGTGGACTTCATTTTCAACTCCTTTGCCGAGAGTCTTCACAGATTCTTCCATCAGCAGCACATGCTGATGATGTTTCGTATACAGGGTAGTTGCACTTTGGATTTAATAAGGTGGCTCAGTTTCACTAAAAATGTAGTATGCAGGGCCAATTTTGAAGACGATAGAACTTGTGATACTAGAGCGTAATACGTTTTGTCGATGTACGGAATGACTGAAGGGCTACTACCATGGCTTGGGAGCCATGCCACCAAGAGGAAGTACAATTTGCAGAAACCTGAATGCTTACGTAGTCATACTCGAAAACTTGAAAATGTATGCAAACTTGAGTTGATAGGCTTACATTTATTACAAAACCTTGTTTTTAAATTCAAATACCTACTAGTTCATTAGTGAGGTCGTTTTGTAGTTCAACGAAATCCGAGCGAGGAAATGAAATTTTAATCTTTAGAACCAAAGTCGGCAAATCGGCCGTTATCCATTATATATACCGAGTTTATGGTATAGGACAAGTGTAGCCTCTGAGGTAGGGTAATATCGTCAAAAATACTTATAACAATTATTTCCGAGATGCAAAACCCGTTAGCAGCTTTCATTCCTTCATGATAGCAAAAAACTTAATTTCTATATCCTAGTCATTGACAATCAACCGAATTGCCGTGCGGTTCTACCAAAAGGATGATTATTTCTTAGATCACAGCATTAATACAACCACAAGTCGTTTGTTTAAAGTTTGCTTGAGTTTCTTGATCTGGTTTTGAGTAACGACTACCTCGGTTATAACAATACTGAGAATAATTTCCCTCCCTTTATGAAAAAATATATCCTAGGTTGGCAGAGGTGGTTGATTTAATCATAAGGCACTCGCGGCCAATGTGTTTAGCCACTTAAGATATTAATCTACGTGACAAAGAAGTAAACAGGTCAAATTTTTTTCCGTAACGTTTAGAGGAATACCTTACTCCTCTTACCTTACCCATCGTAATATTCTCACGACTCGGAAACGTAATGTAACAGCAGCACCCATCACCACTTTCGAGGCGGTTTTCAGCTGACCGTATCTCCTTTTTAACGTGTGGGCACCTAGACATGCATTCACGTGGATTTGCGACATTTAGAAGGCTTGATGATATTCATCCCTATCCTGTTCCCATCGACATGGCTACCTCCTTTTCACCTTTTCCACCTCTCCGTCGTCTTTCCCCTCTCACTAGCTTTTTGCTTTGGCATCAATTGTCAGCCTTTACAATTCGTCGTTATTTTAGTCAGGGCTTGCTTATTTGCCTTCATTAAGTTATTTTAGATTCAATGCGAGCTATGGTAGTTAATCGCCTCCCAATGGCAAATCATCAGCAGTTTGACAAAGTGAATCCTGGTGCCTACGCTCTTGTGTTTCTTATGTTTTAAAGAAAATGGAGTCGTGCAATTGCTAGCTCTCCTTATTTATCACCGATGACGTAGTGAGCTCTACTGTTACACAGTTTTTATTAATAATTTGCTGTGGGACTGAGTGACTGTGGACATAAACGAAACCGAATCGCGGAGTCCTGCGGCCCTGGGCATTACATAGTTTTCTTACGGCATAATATTGAACCTGGTGTCTTCGGTAATTAATTTAAAATTTTCCTGTATCAACCGGTTGGATTACGGATATGTATCATTTTTAGAGTCGTAATAGTGCGCGAAATACCTCCATATCACCGTCGAATACAACGAGTGGATCTTCGGGCACGGCGACAACGGCAACTACTGCGTCTTCTGGTAGCGCTGCTACCTCTGCCACCACCACCGCTGTCGCATCCGTCACTAGCGCTGTTACCTATGCCACAAGCGGACGTCTCTCATCCGCCGAGGCGGAGGCGACTTTGCAGGAAATGGCTGCATCCGTCGCCCACCTCGGCAATCGAACAGGAGCGAAGGAGGCGGAGGCTGACGGAGGTAGTGTGACCTCGTCCTGCACTTCCGGTTCCAGCGTTGGCCTGCCTCCGCTCTACGAGGAGGCTGTCCAGTTGCTCTCCGAACAACAACAGCAACAACGGAGGCGGTCTCCTTTTGCCGCTGGTGATGATTTGTAGTTCTCTTTTAAATTGCCTAGAGTGTACACCCGCGCACACAGGCGTCATTCCCATCCTTATTTCTGATCTATTTTTTCCCTCCTGTCTGTAGTTTTGTGCGCGCCTGTTTCAAAAGTTCTGCCTCTGCTTCTGACTGTGAACTTTTCTTGTCCCCGCCCTTGTGTGTGTGCGTACATATGTACATAAGCATTATTGTTAAGCGTAGATTTATCTAATATCAGAGGAGGAATAAATAGGTGAGGAGTGTTGATCGAGAATGTACCGAGTTTGTTATGCTTTAGCCATGCATTCTGGCTGTTTGGGGTAGGGGAGGAGGGGGGGAAGGAGGGCGGTTGGACGCCAGACGCCGTAGTCGGTGATGCAAGCCGCCATGCTGGTCAAAATTCCGTAGCATTTTGGTGTCCAAGGGCATAAAAAGCTCTGAGAGTGTCAATAGGTTAATGAAAACATTATCAATGGGGGTTTAGGCTTCTGTGAGCCAATTAATATTGCGTCGTTGATGAAAGGTGTGGGTAAGGCATCAAGTGATTTCCACATAATATGTGTAAGGTTTCGCCCTTTGCATCAGTGACATTTTAAAGTTTATCCAAGCCCTAGAAAAAAAACTCATCAAATTTCTGATCAAATTCTTGCAATAAGTGATAAATGAGAAAATTGGGCAAGTTCCTGCACTTAGTACGGAATTATAATGCTCACTTTAGTGACACTTTTCCTGCACACTAGAAACCAGGAAGGCAAGACTTTTTATTCAAACTAATGACACGAAATGAGTGGATGTGCTGCCAATTTTAGTCATCTTAAATTAGCCACTCACCATTCTTCTACGGAACTTGCACTTTGTCTCTAACATTAAAAAAGCGTTTTCCTAATTTTTAGCTTTTATAAGCAAGCCTGCATAAAAAAGAATCAGCACAAATAAATTTGCTTGTTACACAAATTTTGGTTTGTTTTAACGGACAAATCAGGCTTAATTCAGTCCAACCTTAGAAGCGATCATATTATAATAACCCAGAGCTAATATGATTGCTTTTAAATACGCATGCCTTCTGACAATCTGGAGTATCACTTTATGTCACTCGTCTCAAGGTCTTTTAAAGTGGAATATTTTGGCTGGCGAGACGAACGAAATTTTGGCATTTCTTGAGTCGAGCGGCTCTACTATATCAGTGTACCCACCGTTGCGACTCTCGCTTCAACAAGGTGATTTGTGCTTAATATATAAGTAGAAATTTTTAACACCACTTAGTTAACGATAATCTTTCAAGAGTTTAGGGGAATTTGCTTGCAATTATGACAATTTTAAGGACGCTTTAGAGCATATTTTTTCAGACCTTTCCATATGCGGATTTCATGTTGAACCACCATCCCTGTCTCTAAGACTGGGTCCTTCGAAGAACACATCAGATGCATATGAAATTACTATAAGTGCGAATGGAACCGAAGAACTTGATGGATTGACCTTTCAAATTCAAGCAGCTACTTGTCAAGAACCTCCATCTCTTTCCCCCAAAAGGCCTCTTTATATATACGTCAGTTCGCAAAATAATAGATGCAGTGCTTTAATTTAATTTGGTACTTATACTAGCGTGCTGTTTATTGTGAATTTTAAAGTATTTTCTTAATGGGATTTTGACGTTCAGCTTAAATTTAGTAAGTTATTTTGGCAAGGGTAATCATTGGTTTGCCTCTTTAAATATCCAATGTACTTTATGAGTAACATTTTCTTGCTACAGCACTACTTTTTGTTTGTTGTATTTTAGGTTGCTAAACCAAATCACCCAAAATGGACTAAGCCAGTGTTTTGCGTGAAAGTACCAACACATTTAACGCCCTTTACCACATTGGCGAATCTTTCTGAATTTGCAATTGCACCCATAAACTTCTCCATTTCTAACTTTAGTGTTGAAGGTAGCGAGAGTTCTCACTTTTTGGTTGACGAAACAGGTAACTGAACGCATTTGAATGTGGCATGATTTTACTTCATTACATCACTAACAGTTGGGTCCATGAACTCGGTTTATTTTTCAGTTTTGTGTTATGGATTTAACAGATAAAAACAGCAGTTTTAAAACAAAATAAAATGATTTTTGAAAAATGACGCTGCCTTTAGCCATGGTTCTGTTATCTTTTTAATTAATACTCCTTTTTTGAGGTATGCCTTCTATTTGCTAACAGTTTGTGTAGGAAAGTTTATGATAGCTATCTAAAAGAAAAAAGTGACACTGTTTTGCAAACTGTATTGAACAGACTTTATTTTAGAACACCACTGATTAATTTTTACTCTACTTAAATCCGATTTAATTGTACAATTATTCCATTCAACACATTTTTTATGGCCCCTAAAGATCGGAAGAGCTTAAACAATTCCTTAAATATTAGTGTGCATTTCTTAGAAGGATAAACAGAGCCACTTGTCTTTTATCTCCAACCCCAATTTATGAATGGCTGAACTACACGTACAAGCATTGTTTAACGCTTTTTTCTTTAGGTGCTTTGCGAATTCGCGATACAAGTTTTGATGCTGAATCGGGAACGATAAGTACCCTACAAGTGAGGGCGTTGTCCAATCACGAACTGCCTTTATCCTCAGTTCCCGCTCTTATCATCATATCGTACTGTTCACCACAATGGACTGGTACGTTGAATGAAATATCGCCCGACAAGTATTGTGTAAAACAACAATTAGAATGAATACCTAGTCGTTTTTCCTTTTTTGCTTAATTGTTACCTAAGTGACCCAAAAAGCTGAATATTAACTCAAGTGATTAATGAAAACAATACGATTATTTCTACGATGAAGCGCTTCGTATGCTTGTAAGAGTAAGTGCGATGAATAGCCTTCGTGAGAAACCGTATAAAACCTTATAAATTAATTGGCGGAGAAATATGTAAAGGAGGCGAGAGGCAACATCTGGTTCCTATAGTACCGATTAAATGTCAATAAGATTTTTTACCCTTCAACAGCTAACTCTTCTTATGAATTCTTGAGTTCTTAGGCAAACATAGGATATAATTCTACTTTCTCGTTTTTAAACTTCTACTCATCCTATTTTGTGTATATCATAAGTAACCTGTCCCTCTGAGTTAGTGATACTACTGAAATTCTCGCCTGTTCAAAAGCTAAAGTCATTAATTTAGCGATGGCAAATTAATCGCCTAATGGTCTGATAAAATTTAACTTTTTTACTATTATGCTTCGAAAGTGCTCCTTTTCAGTATAAGTCTATAAAGATTACTTATAAGAAACACTCCAGAAAGACGGATAATATTACTACGCGATCTCGAAGTGTTTCTTAACACGGACAATGTACGCAGATAACATGTTAGTAAGCTGAGAACTTCGGTGCCACCAAATTTTAAGATAGCAGTATTCGACGATTCATTATTAGAGTTGACTGCACCCTCGTCCCTGTTTGGAGATGGGTTTGCGGGTATTTTTTCCGACCACGGTCTTGGGGACATATAAAAGGCCAATTAAGGTGCCTTAATCACGACCGCCTTTTTTATGACGCCTGTGATACGGTTAGTGGATCTGATAGCGTGCGTTTCGCGCCTAGAATTGGCGTTTATCTCTCACCCTAGATCCATAAATCTTTGCCTTTTCTACTATCTGTCGCCCGATGACTGTGGGAACGAGATTTCCACTAGACTGACTAAATTTGCTCCAGAAATTTGATTCGTATATATACACACTTTTTTATAATTAATGGGAGTCCATTGTAGTCAAACTATCTGTCAAGATCTCATTCCCAACTACGAAAAAATTCATCGGAACTTTTATATATTGCTCTCCACTACATAGGCATTTCACCAATCTTTGAGCACAAGGGAGAGGACCTGAGGCCATTGGCAAGTGCAGGCCTCGAAGACTGTTCTGAGGACCCAGACCTGCAAAATTCTGCAGTCTTGCAAGTCCTACCCAGTCTCAGTTGTACAGTAACTGGTGCAGAGGCAATAGTCGAGTTGCTTTACGAGAAACCAGCGGTTTTGGCTGGGAATGCTCAACCGTGTCCGCTGGACCAATACCGACTTCGAAAATGCGGTAGATATTTTCTGCTTTTATTATAAAGAGGGACTTGAAATTTACCCTCCATAGTCCTTGAAAATCAAAAATGTAACTAACTGTCTATTTTATTGTCGTGCAGAAGTCAGAAGGGGTTAGTCTTGGCAAAAAAGTGAAGAATTTTGTCATAATCTTTTTGCGCTTTTCCACCTAAGTTATTTTCAGTAAAAGCGTTAAAAACGAAGGATGTCTAAAGTGTTGACCTCATCATCAAGCATTTAGGCAATAAAAAGGTTCCACTTTTCGTTATAGGACTCTTTTCCAAGAGTTTTGTGTAAATTGGATAAACATTTCCAAGTTTTGCGTTAACTAATCAAAAAAGGAGAATCCAGTGCATGATTAGATGAATTTTAAATCACTTGAATAGGGGAAATCCGTTTGCGAACCACGGATTCCAAAAAAGTCGGCCCTGTCAAACTATGAGAGCACTTTACCAACAAGGTTATCAAACCTTTGATAAACTGAGTTTAAAGTTGCGTGATTTTATTGTATAACCAGCTTGGTTACAATCTCGCTTTATTGACTGTGTCGCCATTGATGTACGGCGCAGGAGAACTGCGCAGCAAGAACTTTTGAGCCCACATTCTTACTGCCACACAAACACCCCATTACTGGTGCATAAAGAACTGCAGAATCAATTGACATTTTGTCTTTTCGTAATCGAATCTTTCATCCATAAGGAGCAATTAGTGGTAGTGTTCTGCTACACAGAGCTTGAGTAGCATCAATCAGGCGATTGAATTTGAAGGTTTGAAATATCAGTAGCTCAACTTGATCACGTTCTAATCTTATACTGTCGCCTTTCTATTGCAACACTGCGGTTTATTGCTCCAAGACGAGGAGGAGGATTTTCAAAAAGCTCATATCTAGTCACTTTAAACATTGTTAGGGCCAACTTCAACCTTCTTCACTTAATTCCACCGAAATGAGGCTTCAGATTCAATATTCTTGGTGACATTTTTTGGACCTTATAATGAGAAGATCAAGTGCCGTACTTTTTGCCAACAACGAGCCATGGTTTATTGCGCTTCAGTGCACAACGACAAAGAAGTTTTAAGACAGCCTCTAAGTGGGGTTCACTGCTCCTTTATGATTTAGCCAATTTTGGTAGAATTTTGCTTTTGCGAAAAAAAGTAGCTAAAAACAGTGACACATCATCCCATAGCGCTGCATATGTGTGCTGACTTGATTTCCTTACATGGACTGCACATCACATAGAAGTGACACAGCTAATTATGAAACAAAATTTGAATTAGTTTGGAAAGGCAAAAAGAATGCGTATTATATTCAAAAGATGAGCAAAAAGGGTGGGGCCTGCTCTAGATGCTTTTCCCCTGGGACATTAGTAGAGAAAGTGATGACCATTATTCGATGACAGCTTGGAGAGGGAATGCGTTTTTTTCCAGCCTAATTCCCAATACCACTTTTTTGATCCAACAACTATTTTGGTGTAAGATTCGATACTTTTACCCAACTTAACTTTACCTAAACAAAAGCTCAACTTGCAGAACGAGCTGAATTTTGCCTTTATTTGTGGCTTCCTAATTGAACTGGAACAAAGAGCCAACTTTGTTGTTTAAATTCGACTTTAACGAGCGGATTTACTCATGCTTAACGGCAAACTATTCCAAGATAGGCGACAAAAGGGTATTTTTGCTCTGCACATATACTTTCACACTTTTTTTTAGGCCTGCGATCAAAACATTCAGCTCTGACAAAACTCATGGCCGACACAAAACGCCTTTACTCTAGCAAGTCTCCGCTTAACGTAACTGATCAGCTAATTCAAGCGTCTGATCTACGCGGGTCGGAGGATGGTGAAAATAATCTCCAATTTTCCCTCTTCTTTTGGATTCGCCAGTACCCGCACCTACCTCCCAACATACCTGGTGACATTCCAATTGAGGTCCTGTTCTACGGCAAAAATATTTTCGGTAGGCTCTTCTACGTTTGGGGCCTTTGATTTTGAGCGCTGGATAAAATGACCTTCCGAAATGACGCAGTTAATCTTGGACTGCATCCAGAAGCGCGAGATTTGCACCCCAAAATAATTGTAAAATCTAGCGATCTTTTGATAAGTATATTACGTAGTTTCGGGAAAGCGTTTTGAATTTGGCAAGTACCAGATCGTATATGCTATCGAACTCATTTAATTAGTTGATTTTTATTTAACACTGATCATTTAATGTAAATTTATAGCCCTTTTCTGTGCTTAAAGGAAGGTTTTTTTGGGTCCATCTAATTAGAAAGACCTTGAAATTCAGGGGTACTACTGTGACATGTCAAGACTACCTTGACGACGAAATAAGACATAATGCTGGGGCAGAGTATGTAATATCAGTGTACGAAGCGGCTGAGGGGCTACTGGCAAGGCCCGAAGGCCATGTCGCCTGGCGGAAGTACAATGGCCGTGCTCCTCAGTGCCTGCGTAAAGTTAAACAAGCAACCCGAGTAGTACACCACTATGATTAGTGAACCAAGCTAGATGCCCAGCCAAATGATTGTTCTAATGGTACGAGACTGCTACAAATTTAGTGATGTCTATGCTGGGTACGCTAAATCGGTGTTGTTCTAGACTACAAAGTCTCTACTTTGACGATCTCTAAAAGGGGAAGAGACATAATTGTTTGCCTGAAAAAGTTTTCCAATCTTCCGTCTACTTCATGGACATTCTCGTCGAGCTCGCACATTGTTGAGGAGGAATGGGTCCTAATGACAATCAACTACCAATCGAAAGGAAAAGAACAAAGTGTGAGTTCCTCATGAGTTGATAGGGTCTACTGAAGTTAAATTCCATCCATATTTCTTGAAAAAGACCTTTCCTGACTTCCCGAAAAGAAATGGATATAAGCCTTTATTTTATTTCGTAGAAGGACATTAGCAAATCTGCTTTCATCTCTTTAAATTGTCAACTTTGAGAATGCTCAAACAGCCTTTTAACCACCTCATTTAACATTCAGGGAACAGTTAATTTTTAAATTCTAGAGCTAGACTAACAAATGGCAAATTCGTTGGACAAGTCTAACACATTAAGTCTCAAAATTTCTGGCGTTTAAAAGTAGTAGACTTTGTGTTTCCTGTTTGCCCAAAGGTGGGGATATTTCTGAGCAGAGATGAACTTGAAAAGATTTCATCAGGACCGATCCTGAATGTTCCTCCGACTTTTGCGGACGATTCACCCGAGGGCCAGTCACTCGCTATCATTGGAGCTGCATGGTCTGCTTCTAATCCAGAGAAATTCTCGCATATCTTTAAGGTATCTTACTTTCTATCCATTTTTTGATTTAAAAGATTATTTTTCTTCCACTTGACAACATTCTTGATGATTCGTTTCAAAAGGTAGGTGAAAATTAATGCAGTACTGAAAATACTTCGATTCAAATTGTCAAACTTGAAGTGTGTAATTCGTCCTTCCAAGTGTCTCTTTGACAATATTAGCCACCTTTAAGTGTCGCCCATCAGGGGAGTAAGTTTTGCATGACTGAAGGTAGGCTCTTCAAAAATCTTTGCACAAGTCTAAAATTGAAGATAAAGTTACTTTAAAGGCAGAATCGTGTGCTTAATCCCTATAAACCTACAAAAAATTGTCGTTCCTCCACTTCTTACAACCCTGGTCTACTTCAGCTAATAGAAAGTGCAAAAATATTCATTAATCACTCCAAAATTGCATTTGGTTTAAAAAGCATGAATTGAGTCAAAGCTGCACCACGAGGTCAAAAATAGTCAGCACAGCAGCATCCCTAACTGAGGTAAATAACTCCCCATCCCGTTTTGAATATCATCAACTTTCTCTGGCATATTCTTTTACATCCACACCCTCAGAAGTAGAAAGTAGAACTACATGAACTGTGAGCAAGGCATGTTTTTAATCCCCGAGAAAATTCTGGCGATTTCGGTGGTAGTTGCTGATTTGCGATTACGATTAAATCACCACCTTAGTAATGTAGCTAAAATCACACTCCTAAACATTTTACTTAAAAAATTTTCTAATTTTAATGCTCCACAATAGCTGGATGCCGGATTAACACATTAAACATTCCACTTCTTTAGGGTCAGATTGCAGATATGAGCTTATTGTACGGGACAGTGTTGAAACCGACCACAATCGAGTGCTTAATTGACTGTAAACCTCGCCTCACTTTGAATCAGGAGGCGCTCCACCTCCTGACTCCTTCCACAAAGCTTACCTGGGAGCTACCCTTTCGTGGCATTCGAATGGTCAGCTTGCAAGCGGCACAAGTGAGCAGTGTCCTGCAGCAACTGAATGTGGTCAACCTGGATGGTGTTCCGTCGGTGACTTTGCGTCTGGCGAGTTATATCCAGTGAGCGGTTTCATAGTCTCATGTTAAGTAAAATGACCTCTTGGTAACGTTAGTAAAATGTGAAACTATGCAAAAGGAACCCCCGAAGCTTGGCATTGGTGTTAATGGCATTGAATTACTTACGATCGTGGAGAAAACAATTGCGGAACAAATATTTGACCCAAAAGCAAGTGTTTGCCTTTTCTGTATGTTTATTAACGAGTCGCTGACGTGATTTCTCCTTGGCAAATTTAAAGAAAAAAAATGACCCAAACATTGAGGAACACCTTTAGAGAACCTACATAGAACTTGATATTTCCAGTAAGACTTCTTCAACTGATAATACTGCGATTCTTTTCAACACGTAATATTTCCAATAGACTAGCCCAAAGCATACATTGGTAATGCATTTGCGTATTTTTTGTTCGATCATGCAATCTAAAGCTTTTTTTCAGGGACAACAACATTACTAGCAAAATTTACCATTACATTCCTGTAGCTTATTGAAAATTTTAGGCGAATAGTTAAAAGAAAGTCTTTCTTTATGAGCTCGATCCTTAGAACTCTGCACGTCCGATTTTTCGAGGCACCGAAATAGGCTGTTCAAAATGGTAATCGTTTAATTCTTGTTTAAGCCGAGAGATATATGGAACAGGGGCGAAAATTTCAGCAAGGCAATGCAGCAAATAAACCCGCACTTACCCTAACAAATGTAATGCAGCAATGTGCATAGACTTTTTAATGGGGCACCAAAAACAAAATTTACTTTAAATGAATGCGTATTATGGTATTTTAGGTGTGCATAGGGCATAAAATACTGCATGAAATTCCATCTTACCAAAAAGGGCGTTGCTGATGTTATCGTCTATGTGCACGACAAAATAAAAGCGCCCACAAAATTATTCTGTATTAGTTTAAAGAATTGGATACAAAGGTAACTCATGAGCCTCCTCTTTTCATCCTCAATTTGCGTTTACTTCAATCATTCCTTAAAGTGGTCTACTTTTCACTGAAAATGAACTATAAGTTGGGTTTGTTTAAGAAGGGGAGGAAAAGGCGGTCTCGGTACATTAACTCATTCATCTGTGAAAGTAATTTACAATTTAACTTTTCTTAAAAAGGAATATAGTGCAGCTTTTGGAATCTACACACGGTTGCATGTAAGCTTACCAGGAGTTCTTGTGAGATGAGCTTTACATACACACATACTTGTATGCAATCTCCCACGCATTAAAGTTGGCATGTTTGACGGAAATGGGGGATATTTCCAGAGGCCGTTCTACTTTATCGTATCAGCTCTCTTCGTGGGGAAAGTTGATCTAATTGGTGTTATATCATTAAAAGCTAACACATGCAAGCAGGATGTAGGTTGGTTCTATTAAGATATCCTAACCTTTTTATGAGAGACTTTTAGCTACTTTGATTTTTCTTCAGATGTTTAGAAACCAACACAACATCTCCACTTCCCGAAGTGAATATCACGCTGATTGATGCTGCAGCAAGGAAGGATTTGGACCAGCCTCGCAACGATCTTGAAGGGCTTTCGTCGCCGAGTGCGGAAGACCCCTGCGGCTATCGACTGAGGCTGCAAAGCACCTCTCTGCAGGCGTTGGAAGGCACCAAACGAGCAATAAGCGTGTCGGAGGCTAAAAGGGGACAATACCTCATTCCTGACGCAAATCTTACCTGGGAGGCCTCCGATCCCAGGTGCTTGGAGGAGTTGGAGCATTTGGGTGTAAACGGTGAGGCCGAGTAAAAAACTGTGCTGTAAACCACTGAGAAAATAAGGTAGAATTAAGTGTAGTGTGCATTTGAGTTATAACGAGGCCAACAGTTAACATACAAAGGAATGTAACCGTGGCAGTGCTGCACGCAATACCCTATTGCTAGTACCCAGAGCTCATGTCGTGTGCCGGTCTAGACGATGTAAATCAAGATTGCATGGGACAGTGTGTGGAGAATAAAAGGATGAAATTTCAAGCAGAATATGGTACAATAATGGGGCTCACAGCCGCGGTGAGTCATCTAAAGGTTGTAAATGCTTCAAAGACGCCTTTCCTGCAGTATGCCAGTGATGATTCTCGTGAATATGCATTCAGTTAGGAAACCTCTGCTTCTTGATACCCCATGAGCAAATAGCAAAAGACCAATCTTTATATAAAATCAAGGAACCAGATTGTCATTCAAAATTTTTTAAAAGTCGATGCTCAGTGGCTACCAACAGAGATATCTGCATCAGTAGCCAAGTGGAGAAGGTTGTCATGGAATTGATCAGCCATTCTGAGTGTAGTATGCAACAGTTGCGAGAAGAAACCTTCTGCAATTCATTCTTCTTTCCTCTTGCTCCTGTTTTACTCTGATGCTTTCCGGAAGATAATGATATTGTAAACATTTAACTAAGATAGGTATTATTTAAAAATAAAACAAAGTTTGAAGCACAGCTTCTCCTTAGTGACTTTTAAAAGCGAAGTTATTAGTTTCAAATTTTCCCACTTGAATCGATTACGCATTCATTTTTTTTAAGAATTTCCTGCATAAAATACTCAAAACAAATACTCGGAGATCATGTTACTGAGGGGAAGCACAATATGGGGGGATTTTGGTTCCCGCCTCTCAAAACGCACATTTAAACCAACTATTAAAGCCTTACATATGAAAAGTCACTTAATAAAAGACGGAATGTAAAATAGTTCTGTTGGGAATGGGTTTTGGGTCTACGTCGCTTTGCCATTTTGTTGCCACTTTAGTGCCCTCCAGCTGCATATATCAATCTGAGTTCTAGAGGGGATATCGCGTGTGCCTTAATTGATATCCTCATGTAGGTAGAGTCGACACCTCTGTAAGGAGGTTTTCCAAGCGATTCACGGCTGGTGTCATTTAAGTTATTAATACCATTTCCACAGAAAACGAGATTGAGACGGTTGCTGAAGGTAGGCGTCATTTTTAACCTTTCCGCTAGAAGTCTTAACAGAATTTCCATCCACAGCATGCACTCTTCTTCGGTCACTTGAAGACTCATCATCTAATAAAATAAACAAGCGTAGTTGTCCTTCAGGATAGGAATCTCACCGCTGCCATCAGCATGGTGCCCCGAGTTTTTGCTGAAGACTTACGAAGTCATGGTGGTATGACAGTAGATATATTACTGACGTACAAAAGAACTGAAGCTATCGACATGGCTTGAAGGCTATTCCGCCAAACAGAAATGCAAACTACAGAGACTGAAGTGTAAAGAATCTATCCAAGCTCCACACTGCATTCTCCATTCTAACGTGATGCACATTCAAGTTTACATTTTTTTGAATTCTTAGCTGAAAGCAGAGCAATGAGAGGCAAAAAGGCTACACTAGTGACCAAGACCTAACAATAGACCAGTTTAAAGGCATTTACTGTTCGTCACAAACACATCAGTGTTGAGTTTGCAGTATTCATTAAAAAAATTCCCAGCAAAATATAACAACTAAAAATACTTTAGATTAGGACTCAGAGGCATTTAAGAAGCGGCCCCAGTGGCATTGAAACCAAAGCTTTGCTCTCCATTAAACAGCAAATTTGTTAATTTTTTTAACTTGATCTCTTATTCAGAAAATTAGATTATAAGTCGAAAAAGCGATCTTATCTAACCCTCTATGAAGAGTTTTTGACCTTAGATCGAGCTCCATAAATTAAAGGTGGTTGTGGCTTCGTTCGGGTATTATAAGCAACAAAATTACTCAGAAATTTGTTTTTTTTCCGATAACAGTTGGGATAGCGGTGCATTTCTCTGCATAAACGAGCAGCAAAATGCTTTCTTAGGATCAAAAGGATCTTTACAAGTGAAAATGTTCCTATAAGTCTTTTGTGATCATCGTGTTCTCTTAACTACCAGTTCTCAGTTGCAATGCCAACAGTTGTGGCCTCTTGACCAATCGCCTTCAATTGGGCCAGGAAACAATTTTTGTCGGCGGATTCTCCACTACCTCTCTCAGTGGTATTGGAATACGGTTTGAACGGACAAGAAGCAGCTATGGAATCGTGGGCAAGGCCTCTACCGATGTCTATAATGACCTACTTCGACACATGGCTTGGAAACACAGGAATGCTGTGAAGGGCTTAACTCGATGTGTCAGCATTCAGTGCACCGCGATGATTCAAGATGATGATGAGAAGATGATTGTCTTTCATCGCAGTAACCAACTGGAAACACAGGTGAAAAGAAGCAAAACTATAAAACACCATGTGTTATATTCTCCCTCAAAAAGTCATTCATTCAACTTTCAATCACTTATTAGGGGTACTCGTGCTTAAGTCAATTTCTCTATTTGAAATCATGGAACTTAATGTTGGTTTAACCAGGCATATTTTGGTCCCCGCTTCACTGCTTTTGAATGCCTAAGCTAGTAGATAGAACAAATTACTATTTTGCTATCTGTAGATACAATCATGTGCAATGAGCCAATCAGGGGACGCTGTGGACAGAAGTTGGCGCTTTAGTTGCTATACCATTCTGTAAAACGTAGCCTACGTTATGTGACACTGAACTAAATAGAGCGGAATTAAAGTGTGGGTTTTTTTAAAAAAAAAACATGTTATGTGATTTTTTAACTTAAAAGACGAAAATGGAGTGTAACCTAGAGATTATGCCCCATTCAAATGCTTATACAATTCAGAATAGAGAATCTTTATTGTTTTGGAATAGAATGTTGTTTATTGACTGCATCGCTTCTTATCGCAACATTTATCTAGACATCATATTTCAGAGATTAAAACCCTTTTATAGGAGCGTAAGCCGTCATCTTACTGTCAGGCCTTTAGACGAACTGGTGCAGAAAATAAACAATGTGGCTCTAAACGTCTCCTTGATACTGGTTTCATATCCAACAAATATATCAATACCTATTATTTATTAATTGCCTATGCTAAATTTGTTTTTCTAAGACAGGGAAGATTGGTGTTTGAAATTTTTTGTAGTTTCGTACTGTTGACACCGACTCCTTTGAGGCCTTGGGCGAGGAGCTGATTGATCACGATGAAAAACGTGTCTTTTTCGAGGACGTCCAACCAGTCGCCTTTCCACTTCGGGGTGATATGAAGTCTAGGGTTAGTGAGTCCTCATTTGTGTTTAACAGTGAACCAGTTAAAAGAATTTGGACTGCAAACACTATAATAGTTTGGTCAGATGATTGACTTTTGAATTGTATAAAAAGAGCATTTTTATTTAGATCGCTGATGTAGCAAGCTTTTCGTCTAGGGAATTCTTGATGCAGTTTGGCCAATATCGTTAGAATAAATTGTTCAAAATACAGTCCTTGAATGCATTATTCATGCATATAGATGGTTTTATTGTTCCACCGGATACATCTATCTCATTTTTACTGCGATTTCCTGTAGCACTATCCACGAGGCTTCATGTTAGTTAATCTAAGGGGTCCATACTAAGAGAGCTCAGAATCTAAGTGTTAGAAGCAGTGTGGTTGCACGGGGCCGATGCTTGCATTAAAGTATTTGGGGTTTCCTCCGACTTGGCAAACATGTGATTTGACATTAGTCTTCTTAATGCTCTCTGTGACAAGTTGAACTATTTCCTGAAAGGCGTATCGTTCTTGTTTGAGTTTGATAATCAAGCAGTTAAAACTTCCTAAAAGATTATTAGATCACTTTTCGACTTTGCGTTCAGCAAATTTTGGTTATAGAATAAACCAAACAAATCTAATTAGAAATTTTCTAAAAAACAAAGCGATTTTCCCACTGGCTAACCGTATTTTAGACCCACACTTGGAGCTACTGGGTGGGTGTAATGATCCTCGCAGTCGGACTAATTGTCGTTCTGGCCGGTCTAGTTTGGGTTCGCAATAAGTCGATTCGCCGACGCAGGTATCGTGCATCTCCAAGTTTCACGCGGAATTTCATTACAACCACTGTCGGCTACGTGGCCGCAAATGAGCACTGCAGAGATGGAGAGGACGATGAAGAAGAGGAGGAGGATTTCACCAAAAGACGGGGTCGTGAGGATACCGAGGAAGACATCTGGGTGCCTGTGATAAGGCCCAAATTCGCTTCTAGTAGGTCATCAAGAGCAGAAATTAGACCTAAACAGAGGGTGCACTTCCAAATGAGCCGAGTTTTACCACCGCCACCACCAACACCCTCGTCACTTGATAGCACTTCGTCAAGTGAATCGGAGAATGATAGCGTAAGTTTACTTGGGAAAATTTCATGTAGAAAGACTCGTTTGGCGCCAATTACCTAGGTTATTCATTTCTCACTGCCAGAGCATATTTTTGTGGTGATTTACAAGCTTTAAAATGTACAAATAGCCGGGAATCCTACATTTTCTCGTCTAGACCACTGAATTTGAGCTATTGAAACCAGCACAATCCCGCATGGGAAGTGTTGAACTCGATCAAAAACTGCTAATTTCCGATGCGGAGGACGCCACAGTTGGCGTATCGAGCACGACCCATTCACTTGACTACAAACATCCACTGGAGTGGACAGCACATGATTACGGCAGTAAATGAACTCATCAAACCGCTGATTTTTGTGTTTTTGACCCAACGTTGTGCTGTCATTATCTCTTCTCATTTCCCACATTCGATGTTGTTACGATGTCGTTACCGTTGTCGTTACTATTGTTCCAAGTAGGCAGAGCAGCTGTGTACTGTCCCATGTTAGACAATCATGTCATAGTATTTCTTAAGGAAGTCTTATACATCTTTATTTTGTTTGACTAAAGTAACTTATCATTACGGGTGGAGTTGGTAAGAGATACTTGGTCCATTCCATTCCTAGGGTTTGTGTGGTACTGCTGAAGGCTCTATGCGGAGTGAGCATTGACCACGGACGACCATCTGGTGTCCACTACACCTTATTGTGCTTGTCAGAGTTGTCACCCTAAGGTTAATATGAGTGATGAGAATTAAAAGCTCTGAAATAGTAATTTTATGAATAGAAGTTGTGCCTTACGCATAAAATCACCCCTGGCACACACACACTCACTATAAACAAGCGATAGCAGTTAAGTAGGGAGATTTGGTAATCCCTCCAAACGTAGTGATGGGTAATAAAAAACTATTTAAAATTACAAGTATTTTTAAATTATCCAGATAAGTAGTGAATTGGGAGGTGATCTTTGAAGAAACTCGGCTTTGAATAATGCTATCAAAACGCTTCTGCTGCAAAGCCAGAGGATGAATTGATAATCCCTAGCAGGTTGTTGTCAACAAAATCGTTAAGCCAACATCAACTTGCCTTTATTATGAGACTGCTGCCTAGAAAGTTGTAGTTTGGCAAAGATTCGTTGTTTTTATCATGCCATATCAAACAGCAAGACGAGTATTATTCTACTTCAGCATAAACAATGTCGAGACTAAACTACCGTACAAAATTTTAAGAATTTGGAGGCAGCATGCTCATACAAAAACCCGGGTAGTTAAAATATTCTCATAAAGAGCACGAAAAAATGTAAAATTTTGTTGGATTGTAGAGCCCCGAGACTTTTCCATAGCAGAGAGAAGTCATAATACTGGGGCAGAAGGTGTATTTCCGAGAGCTGAGGGGTCATGCATATGGTCTAGAAGCTAGCCAGCCTGGTAGAGGTACGATGGAATCGACTAGCGGTCCGTTATTAAAACAACTAGTTAAACAAGCAAATAATGTACTACATGGACTCCTCTTTTGACCATCATCCCCCTTCCCTTGGTCAAGGTCACAGCATACTCGATGGTGTAGGGAAAACGCCCACGAACCAAACGTATCTTTTATCGAATTTGTACGCTACTCAGAAAACACTTCATCCCATCGTCACCTATCCCTTATGGCAATTCTTCTGGATCTGGAGGTTCACTCAATTAGGGAACCACGTTTGGAGAGGGGAGAACGTGTAGGCCGACCCAAAAGCAGAGTCCATTAATAATAGGCGGGAGCTAACTTTGTTCCTTGGGGAAGAGGTTTCGCATCTGTCCCTTCGTGTAACTTTTTCACTTCGATGCTGCCTAACCATTTCTATTTGGAATCTTCCCTAGGTAGTAGCAAGTTGGTGGAGGTAACGCTATTTTGTATAATTGATATTTTCATGCTGAAACGTTAGGCATCTCCGTAATGCGCTTTTTTGAATGGTATTTCCGTGGAACACCGGACTAGGGTATTTGCCGAAGGCAGACTTCATTTTCAGACCTTCTGCTAAGGATCATCACATATACTCCCATCCGCGTAGTATGCCCTTCTTCCGTTAGACAGCATTTCATCACCTGGCAGTAGATATTAGGGTATTTTCCCCTTAAGGTAGGGGCCACATTCTGCTACCATCACTTTTTCACCCCGAGACTTCCCCGAGGGCAAAAGAAGACCTGATACTCGGGCAGAATATGTATTGTCGACACAAAGAAGGGGTTGATGCTACTGTTATGGTCTGAAAGCCAGATCACCCAACCGAAGGTACAATGGCGGTACCCCTCAGTGGTCCGTTACCAAATCGGAAGTTAAATAAATAATTAGCTCCTAACATTATTTACCAATCATGAATATTTTCTTTTATAAAAGACTGCATTGATGGGTTTATTGGAGCCTAGCCCGCATATTTGCTTGGCTTTTTAAGAAATACAAAAATAGCTTATTTTAATGTTTGAAAGAAGTACTATTGTCCCCAATCCACACGAAACTCCGCAGAATTATACAGATGGTTACCGAATTGTTTCCAAAACCTGCAGGATTTATTTTACTGTTGCGTGATCCAATCCTGTTACCTGTGCTACAAAAAAGTTACTTATATAACAAATCACCGAAGGCAGTATTTACTACTGAAAGGAGAAGAGAGGATGCCGTTTAAGGCAACATGTGTTTTATCATTGTCTGTCGATCTTCCAATCCGGTTTACTCTATAGTGGCTTTAAAAATGTGGAAAAGGTAACTCCCAGTTTAACATTTGCGTTGAATATGCGAATAAGGTAGAGCTGATTTTATTATTTGAAAGAATACGAAACCGGGGATAGTTATAAGAATTACTGAATGAACATTTAACATAAAAGAAAAGTTGGCCAAGACGAAACAAGCGTTACTTAGTTCTGGCGTATTGCAAGAACAGTTTACCAACAATCGTCTCAAAGATGCACCAAGCACAGAACTTCCAGCGGTTCGAAGGAAGAGAATGGGGGACTAAGGATTAAGGTGAGAGTGGAAAAACTAAATTGCTTTTTTTTCTGGTCCATACATGTTGCATGAAAAAGGGGGAGGATTTCGCTCTTCACACGATTCCTACAGCATGGTATACCGCTCCGACTTTTTGCCTGGGATCTGGTGTTGAAATTGAAAACGGCAAAGTAGGCTTGTGGTATCTCTGATCTACCGATAATTGAATCTTTCCCATTCTTAAATGGCAATTTGATTGGTCAATCAAGTATAATGAAATTGTGCCACATTTAAATATAAAGAAGTCTAAAATGTGGTGCTTGATGCTCCTCTGAAGCCCTTTTGTTTATCAAATATCCATTTATTACCCACACACTCATCCAACCACCTACTTACTTATCTACCTACATGGCCGTTCGTGGACGTGAGTATCATCTATAAGGTTTGCTGGCACCTTAATTTTGCGACAGATGCTTCTAAGACACTCCATTGTTACTTTATGATTGCCAGTAAAATTTAGATATCCAAATATGTTTAACCTTGTTGTTCTATCCAAGCGGTGCTTTAGCGCACTTACTGTAACGGTTGAGAAAGCGCAAATTTTAATGCAAACCTTTTGTGCTTCAAGTTTAAAAAGGTGCGCCATATGTGCCTTATTAATGTAAAAAAAAGAAATGAATGGCTCGAAAAAAAAAGTTTTGACTTCTTTTATTATGAGAACGGTGACATTGTAGACTTTTGGGAGTAATTCGATGGCAAACTTAACATCTGCAGGATATTTATACATTTGTTCCACCCCAAAAATAAAAAATACGTAAGTTTTTTTGCCGGTTGAAGGCCCCAAAAGGCAAAGAGTTATTCCTTTAAACGAATTTCATATATACATATTTTCTTTTAAAAAAGAGCCGTTTTATTTGATAACGCAAGCAGACAACATACGATAAGTAAGATACACCTCCTTTTCTGCATAGAGAATTTGTATTAAGGTATTAAATAATAAAAAAAATGTTTATTTGACTCCTGTTTCAACAACAGATAGTGCGGATGGACGATTAAGGGGACCACTGCAACTGCATGAACAGGTGTGAGTATGCTACCCACAGTGGGAAAACTCCTCTGCCGCCACAGGTATTCGAGCTATTAAAATCATCCACCAGAAAGGACCGTAAATGATATAATAAGCTTTCATCACAATGAGAGGGTTTCTTATGGAATTGTTGCCGGTGTATTACGCAGATACCATTGGGGAATCCTAGCATGAAGACCCCTTCCATAGGGATGATAAAGGTTAATTAAATTTCCTTGGCCGGCAAATTCCACTTAGATATAATTTTCCACTGAATTATCTACTTCAAAAAAGAAGGCAAGTTGAAGTAGCCTTACAGAGCTACACCCAGTTGTTATTCGCCCTATCGTCGGTTGTTGCTATGGTAACGCTGTAAACCCGCCTATCCTGATCATTTCCACCTTTTTGCAACACAGAATGGTACCAAAACCTAACACCGTCCTACTAATTTAGCATAGTAGCTTGATTCTGTTTCTGGTACATTACTGGCCAATGTGCAGAACTTGAAGCTAGGGTCTTTGTCATTAGCCTTCAGGCTTTTGCCGTCTCTTCCGCAGTTAAGCTTAGTAGATTCGGGCATCGATGGTAGATGCTTTCCCTTTAGAACGTTTTGGCGAAATACACAGTCACCTTAATAATGAATTATTTTTACTGTCTAACAGCTCCCAATGCAATGTCCAACTTCCTTCTATTGGCATTGTAGCATAAATTAACTTTATTGTGGGCGTACAGAATGATTGAGAGAGACTCATATAACAGATAGTTTGGAGTTCAAATGGCTGGAAAGTAGAAGGATCTACACACTCAAAAATAAAATTAGAATTACAATTACTTAAACACGAGAAAGCATCTTTAGTAGAAAATCCACCTAATAAGTTTGGATGGGTCTAGGAATTTGAGTTGGATAAACCTTGAAACGGTAAAAAAGTTTTACGTGGCTTCTATGTTGATTGGCGCAAGATTTACCTTGAAACGAGGAAAAGGATCACAGCTAATTGGCAAATAAGCTTCGTCAAGTGCTTTCATTTTTGTAGCATTTTATTGCCGCATCTCTCACTACACCAAATTAATATTAATTGAAGGTGAACAATAACCTTTCACTATGGCCCTGCAGCCAATAAAAATGAAGAATAATGCAACATTACCTCCACCGACACCAATAACAACATCGTCACCAAGGTGAAGTGAATTGAGAGTGATTTTATGCCACTATCATTGGTGCAAGCATTTGCTACTCTTCATGCCACGTGCTTCCACGCACAGTAGTCAAGGCACAGTCCTACTGCATAATGGCAACACCCGAGGCAGAGAATGATCACATTTTGACCATTAAATGTGTTGTGGTGGGAGATGAACGAATCGGCAAGTCGTGCTTCATCTCGCGGCTCTCGGGCCACTCCTTCCACAGCCAGTACTGCCCGACTATGGTCAATATGACGCCTGTGAGAACAATGCGGGAGGGAAGGCTCATGCTCGTTGATTGTTGGGATACTCCTGGTAAAAAAATATTCTCTTTAATTACTTTTCAGCAAGCATAATTTCAACCTCTATTTAAAGGTTATCATGCTGAACGACTTAATTCTTTTCACCTAGAAGATTAGAAAGAGCTATGTACTAAGAGAAACCGTAAAATTTTATACACTTGCTTCCTACTTGTGGTGGAATCTTGACCTGCTAACTTTATATTTATCCCCATAAAGTCATGAAAGAGATTTATAGGCTTGTCAGTTGACTGCAAGGAGAGTACTTTTAAGTTAGAAATCTTGGATCGCTCTAACTTCACTGAAACAACTTGATGTGACTAAAAAAAGGTCTAGATTTGTAGAACATTGGCGATCTATTAATCGCACTGCAAAATAAAGCATAAAAGGGGATAGGAAAGTGAAATAACTTCTCCGTGACACCTTAAAATGCCTACTTTTAGACAAACAGTGTTTAAGATTAAACCAAAGGATACTGGTGGGCACGGCCTTCACCTATGGTGTCCAACTCCTAAGAGTGCGAAAATTAAGGCTCATGTTTGTACGTCTTCAAACTGATTTTCTGATTCCAAAAAGGCGTTCAGCCTAGGTAACTGGAACTGTTTAAACATGCTCCCATACGGTGGGGTCAAGACTTAGTAGGACGGACCTTGATACACGCAATTAGTACGGCCGTTTTTATGGTTAGAACATGAAAGCACCTTCGGACTTGATTTGTAGAATGAATGAAACAGGTTTGTGTGACAAGGAGTGCTGAAGTACGTGTCCTTTCTCCACTAATTATAGAATCTTGACATTTCCAGAATTAGGTGCATACATTTAAAACCGCTTACGTAGATTTTGTGACTAGGAGAGGCTAAGCGGTTGAGTCTCTGGGTTGACAAAATATAGAAAACAATTGACTTTTACTTCCTTTAAAGAAACCACAATTTTGTACAGTATTCTTTTTTCCTTTTGCATACTATTTTGTACCGAGGTTCCACCACCTCGACAAGAAATTTCACATGGTTATTGCTCATTTGAGAGGTTTGAATGCGAGTGTCATTCGTTTCTTAACAGTCTTGTGCAATAACCAAAAAATCCCTCCTCCTAATCACAAAATCTTACGCCATCGCAATTCAGGTTATGGTTACAACGAGCAGCTTTTTTGATTCTGAAATACGCATATTTTTTGGGGCTCATTAGTACCGTAGGGAGGAACTAAAACTCTTTCAGTTTCTAACCAGTTAAACGAATTCAAAACAACGTAGCTTAAATAATTTATGTCTTCTTAGGGACGCTTTCACTTTTACATATTCCGCGATATCCAGTGTGGTGGGGACTGAGGTGCAGAACTCTCAAGATTGAACTTTGCGCATGAATGAGCTTACCAGACCCCATAGCTTATCCGGTTCCTTCACGCATATTCAGAAAGATAGCTTTTCCAAATGAATGGTTTTATATGTTCTTATTAAAAAGGTGAATTGTGCAAACCAAAAATGTAGTGCTCTCTTTTTATGATTGCCATCGCATTTAAACTCCCCCACAATTTTCCCGACTTTTTCGGAAATTTCAACAGAATAAGTCGACAATGGTTGGTAGCAAATGGGATATACCAACGGTTATTTCGCCGTTTATTATACATAGAGGAATTATAATAGACAAACCCAACCAGTCAATCTCGAATATGTAGTTCGAAGACATGCCTTCTGAACAAAATAGTTTTTGTATCTCCAGGAAGATTTGTGGCAGTGGTCGAAAAAATTCTGCCACTTTTATAGGCGCGCATCACCTGCAGAACATCCGACTTCTGGCCTATCAGGGCACACATATCTTTGCGGTCTGCTTCTCCGTAGTTATACCGGAATCTTTTGAGAATGTGTGCACAAAATGGATGCAGGAGATAAGGGAACACGGGCCCTCGAATGCCACCGTCATTCTGATTGGCCTACAGAGTGACCTCAGAGGAGACGAGGATGTGAACAGGGAACTTCATGAACGAGGAGTCCAGAGCCCAACTCTTGACCAGGTAAGCTATCAGCGAGACTCTTAAGCCCATCAGTGTTATCTACAAACAGGCGTTTTTGCATTAGTTGACCTCAATGGGCCCTAAAGTCCATTTCTCTAGGATTTTGCCGTTAGCCTTAAGTTAAACTTTGTTTTGAGCTAATTGTAAAATTTGGTGGTCCATAAATTGCAATTGTATTTTCCAGATGGAAGATTTTTAAGGGCTCAAAACAGTTTCGCGTTTTTATTTGTAAAAGAAATAGAACAACGAAGAAAAATGCTCGTAGATTGAAAAAAAACGGTTAAAAGAAATCTCTGCAACTTCATTTTTCACTCAGCATCACATTTCCCAGACAAACTGTGCAGAAAAGTCCTCTGATATTTATGGTCGAGACTGTATTACTCCATAAAAACTACAAATTGCTTGTGCCGTTTTCACTGTCATCCCAGACTTGCGTACTGAGTGGTCCTCTGCACCAGTCATTACAGGGACATTTGGATGAAATGAAAGGAGACACAGAACCGAGATGAAAATCATAATGTCACCCTTAAATAATACCCATGATGCTGGCTTTGAATTGGAGGTGGTTTAAAAAATTCCACGCAATTTCCATTCCTTCAGGCTGAATCTCTTCGGCTGGTTCTGCTATCAACAGCAGATGCTTTTCGACAATAACGTCAGACAGGCTATGATAAACTATTCATTTGAGATACAAACCTTCCTTGACGCGTGAATTGCCAAAATGTTTCAGTCTGACTTTGCTTTGGGAATTCTGTTGCAACAATCCATAGAAGTAGATGTATTGCAAGTGTGAAGAAGTTCTAGAAAACTGGTAGTGTTTATGCTACAGATCCCTTTACTTTACTACCTATTACGCTGAAGTCATTGACTTAGTGGGCTATTGAAAAGCATTTTAGATTAAGATGGCTTATTTGCGTTTGACTAGTACCATCGAAGGGAGTCTGATCAAACTCATTGATGTGGCCTAACAATATAACCGGTTCGTAGCAAAAGCAAATTTTCTTCATAGTCGTGTGAAATGAAAGAACAGCAAAACTGGTCTCAAATCAAGTCCGAAATAGGGTATCTTCATTTAAAGTATTAAAGACTCGTTACATACGCAAAGTGGAAAGTTCACAGCTTTCCATTTACCTCCACCTAAGCAAAAATTTAAACACTGCTACTAAATAAATTTTTTTCTCAACAAGTGTTCAGCATTAGCCGAGAGAATTGGAGCAATCAGTTATTTTGAATGCTCCTCTAAATTGCAAATCGGCTTTTGTGAAGTCCTCGAGGTGATGAAGGAATCCATTCCGAATCCCATCAGAGTTGTTCGCCACCTCTCCATCTCCATTTCGAGTCGCAGATCAATCACAGATGCTGAGGCTATTCAAAAATCCCGAAAAAGCCTACCTCGAACTTCTGAGACATGAATTTCCTTGGTGCGTCGACTCTGAATCTACGCGAGGCTCATTCAGCCAGATTCCGTCTATCTATACTTCCCATCTGGCTCCATTCCTCTATCCGTAGCAATGAATATCTATTTCTTGAATCCTTTCCAGATCCATTTATCCACCATACCAAGGTTTTTAAAATTTCCATGTTATTCAAGCGTGTGTTTGAGAATGGGTGCATTTTTTATCATTTTACAGAAGGCTTTCCACTGCAACTTATTGTTTTATTAATAAACAAGGTAATTATTTGCGTTTTCCCCCAAAAAATCACACAGTTAAAGACTTTTGGAAGGTAGAATAGGGTTGGTGGCAGTCCATGCAGGAAACAATGCCCTTGGTTATGGTAAACCTCTAAATAGGAAAGCAAATAAGGAATTATAAAGGTTTGAATAGGAATGGGTTTACAAACACAACTCTCCGGATGAGTATGGAAGAATAAAGGATTCTGACTGTCGTGAATCTTGAATTTCTCCAAGAGGAAGTGGAAAACATCATAAACTAACAGTAGGTGCCAAAGGGATCGCTGTCATGATCACTACCCATTCAAGTCCACCAGTGTGGAGTTGAAGTAGATCAGGAAATTGGAGTTGATTGTAGCTAATGACAAAAAATTAAAATTCACGTTTCATTAATGCGTTTAATGTTGTTATAATTAGAAGAGGGAAAATGTGAGCAGCATATTTTCATTTCACAGCTGTAGCGGTGGCAACACCTTCAACAAGAACCATGACAACATAAAGGAAAAAGTGCTGTCTATCTATCATTGTGGCTTACAGTATTGAAAATGGTAAAGGTATAGGCTTGAGCACTTGGTGGAATGGCAACTACTGTCGGTCAAAAGGTCCTTTATCTTAAATCCCACCTACTAGTGACCCTCCAGGTTGCAGACTTGCGCATTCATCGTATAGCTATCTGCGTAGTCCGCCATGCGACAAAGTAAGACGCGATGAAGTAGGACAGTATTCAGAAGCACTATGAATAGATCAAAGGCTGTATCAGTTCAACGTGATTAGAGAAACAATACCCAAAACACCTATTTGGTATGAAGGTTCCTTCAACGGACACTATATCAGACGAAATGAAGATAGTGACTCAATACTTGTTAAAATAAGGCTTTAGTAGGCTCATTAACGATATGGAATGACGCCTTGATCATTCTTCTCATTGAAACAGGATTTTTTGTTAATGCAGAAAGCGAATGAGTAGCGACTTTTGCATTGCCAGCCTTCAACTTGCGCCTATGATGTTATTAAGGGCATACGAAGAAGTGTTGCATCATGTAAGCAGAACGGCTAAGAGAAAACTTGTTTGGATCTCAATGAGGGTGGTGGGCCTACGAGGGTAGACTGTGAATAGGCATTTCCATGTGTCTGCCAAGTACAAACGGTGAGGAATTCCTCGTAGATTCTTACTACATCTAAAGCTACTGATATCAAATTAAGTAGCAGTTTGGATGTTAGGTGGACCTTAAAACCAAGTATAGGATGGATGAAGATGCATTTTCTGCAACGTTGGCGAACCATCATGCAAATGGGTAGGCGTTTGTAAATTTCTGATTCGAGATTTTATTTGTGTGCTGCAATTATCGGTACTCAGTCTAATATGACAGGCGATTGAGTGCTGTCATTTAGCCCATCAAGAAGGGTGGCATGTGACTCCTGATTAATTAACTTCCTCCCAACGTGATCCACTTGAAAACAGGTGGTTGAGAAATCCCAACTTTTGACATTACTGATGCGAATACCGGCATATACTAAGCAAAGATGCTGTTGCTACTTTAAGTCTCCATTTCTTATCTATTTGATGAACCGGTAACCTTAGTGAAAATTTTTCATTCGTCTAAACATCTCTCCCAAGGTGATTCAAGAAGCTGCATGAAGAAAAGGTGAAAAAGAAGAGATTTAATTTTTCCATGTGAAAGTTTACTTAAAAGTAAGGCGTCCGTTGTAGATAGCTGTATTTATGGAGGCCATATGGAGAGAGTCCATTAGGATCTCTGTTTCCTTAAGCAGGGGTTTTGCATCATGGCTAGTAATGAAACAAGGCTGTACTTTTTTGATCCCAGTAAAACACTTTACATTTTTTTTTATTAAAGAGTAAGCCAATGCCCTTGAGTAACTGATTCCGATACATTCATGGTGTTTTTCAGTCCCCTTGTCGAGCACCACTGACAGCGATGATTGGGTCTGTCTAAAGGGCATTTTATTTATTTCAAGTCACCTCAGGATTTGACCTTTGAGATGGAGATGCTAACTCCTGTAGTGAAGGCATCTCAGTGTGTTCTTGATTTAGTAGCGTTCTCTCCTATCCACCAACAAGTGGATAGTTTTGAAATGTCCATTCTGGTTGTGAATGGGACACGAAAGAGAGCATAGGCCTGTCAAAAAGGTAATGGTAGGAGGGTTTTATTCTTCCCTTTTAGATATAAATGTAGATGTGGGTGAAATTGAGCTTTTTTGCTATATATTTACCTTTCTTTATTGAATACAATTAGTGAGACAAATTTATAGTCAACTTTATCCAGCTACTTGGGAAGGAAAAGTACACGTACTTCGACTCATTTATGTCAGTACTCAAACCAGTCTCACACAATGATTATTTTAGCTATTTTGGGACTTAAACACTCCCAATTTTTAAAAACTTCCTCACCATCACCCTCAATTAGTTATCTTTCAACTCCACTAGGAGGACAAGAGAAGCCTGTAAGGACTATTGCCAGTACATATATTTAATCTATGGTGTAGACATAACATGCACAGATGTCGGTTAGATTGGACTGCTTCCTTGAAAATCAACTGAGGACATTCCCAGCCACTAAAATTTCGAAAAAGAGGAAACAGTAGAGAACCGGATTTTGAAATATGTAGTTGGTAATTATCGCGATGATGCAAACCCATTCCACATTGGGATCCCAGAGTGTGGATTATATTTTAAAGGACTCAACGATATTTGACCTTGCCGCTATCCTTTCCAGATAGAAAACAAAAAGGAACAGAATAAAGGCAGAAAGAGGTTACAAAAGTGGTTTTTTTTGGAACTGCCATCGCAAGGTGGATGATCACGATGTAGCCGACCATGATAATACTCATGACTGTTTTCCCATTCAAGTTGTCCTATGAATAATGTTAAAATACTCCAATTTCCATTTTTCTGATTTAAGCCGCAATGGGTGTGATGGTGCTCCACTGTTATGCATTAGGATTAAAGACCTAGATCGCTAATGAAAACGATAAATATAAAAAGCGATTACTGAAGTCCCGATAATTTGCCATGACAGAATTCATGACACTCAAAAAAACCTGTACGATAGTAATGTAGAAGGCTTTATTGTAAATTAAACATCAAGGAAAAGTCGTGTGACAAGCAAGTAACTGGCACAATGGCCGTAATATTAGAGACAAAAAGACACAAAACCCACTAAAATTTGCTTTCTAGCCTATAATTTAGAAGTTGTTCTGCTGTCCAATAGATATTTGATTTAAATGGAATCGAAAGTAATATTTCAGTACTGGAAGAAAAAAGCAGCATAACCGTCGTTCTCTAATAAGTTTTGCTCGCCGCTCTGAATTTTTATTAATCCCAGAGGTGCTTTGGATCATTTTCGGTGAAATAGGATCATTTTTTAGACACAATTATAAAAGACCTTAATTGGGGGCGCCTCTTTGGTTGTCCACATTGGTGTGTATATTTTACGGTGTCGTGAGAAGTGATATTTTCGTCATTTTGAAAGGAGGCAGCATTCGTTGGTCAATTTGCATCTTGCTAATCTGTTTGTTTATCTGTAGAAAATTGGTTTCGTATGACTTTACTTCATAATTCTGTGCTATGAGGCGGTGCTTTGCTTTGCGCGCGTACCTAATTGCAATGGATATATCATTGAAAACGAGGTAGTGTTACAGAAGAATTCGATTCCGAAAGTGGTTTAAAAGGTGAGTTCACCCTATTCTTCATCACTAATTACAGTAGGGGGAGCTGTTAGTGTTCTTTCCACGCTTCCATTCGTGAAACGGAGCTGTAGTTAATCCAGGCTTCTTTGCTGACACTGGCCGTGGATAAGATCTTCTGTTAGTTTGTTCTTTGCTGTGAGAAGTAGCAAAATAAATGTGAAGGCTAGTATCTGCTTCTTCTTGCCCATTGGGAATACTCAGAGTTCGGCACTTAATGTAGGAGCCAAATCAGCTGAACTGATCTGCAGCTACGCTGGTATATGACAATTTGGGATGCAATTCCCAGAGTCCATATACATGCCCATGACCTTATCATACAAGGAGGAGATTGGGATTTAGGTTGCTGCAAAATAACCATCAGATGCGGTCAGGTTGTCTCTTGTTAGAAATCTACTGGTATGCATGGATGTGCTTTACTTTACTGCCTGCTTTCTTTCACCTCTGTTTTCTTGTCTTTGGCTGCGAGCGCGTTATCGATCCACGTTAGTGAATCTTCTCTTTTAGTTCAAGGTCGCCATTATCGTGGAAATATTTCTCAGGTTATCCGTGCCAATTATGGCCACACTCAGAGGTCTCGATTTATCAATCAGAATGAGGTCTGTGCTCTTATTTCAGGTTTTTCTAAGCGAATATGACTGCCTTGTTGGACTGTCAAAAGCTCCCAATTCAATTTTGATAAACTACGCAGCTGAGTTTCTTTGCCGACCAGAGATAAAAACACTTTTTATCATATTCTTATTCATCTCTTTATACGTATCTCGTCTGCCTTCCTTTTAGTACCCTCCTTTGTTGTGGTGGTGCTTTTTTCTATTCATTTGCAGCCATGATATCCTGCTCTCCTGTGAGATCTTAGGGTTTAGAGAGGCAATATTTTCTCAGCGGTTCACACATGGCGGAAGCATAACGGAGAATTGGGCAGCAAAACAATTCAGGTGGAAAAACCCGTCAGTAATGTTGGTGGTGATCCTTTAATGATGCGGTGATTACACAACTGCATGCAGGGAACTAACAGACCAATATGCAGTTGAATCTTATGGGAGACCAATAATGAGAGGTATTAGCGGCAATGCAAATTCAGCGGTAAACAGCGATTCAATCAACAAGAAGTAGAAAGAAAGGGAGTGAAAGCCTGGTGGGAACGGAAGTTAATAACCGTCGGCCGTTTAAGCTCTTGGCGATCGAGAGAGGGGGTCAGTAGAGTTGCTGTTATGCCTTGCAATGGGATGGTATCACTTGTCCGCAGGCGCACTGCTGGGGCTCGGGCATGCCCTCCAGGAGGCTCTGTCCACACCCATTCCTTTAGCCATTGATGCAGAGGCTGAGACATATCCAATGATTATTCTGGTGGGATGTCATCCGAGGACTTCTCTCCTTTGCAAATTGTTATTGAGAAAACCTCGTTTTTCGTCAGTTGACCAATCAGAAGGGGAAGTGCCATGAGTGGATTTGGTCGTAAAATTTTTTCTACGCCAGTGATGGCTGCGTTTTGATGATGTTCCATAGCGCTTTAACTATCGTAACTAGGGGCAATGCCATCGACTCTAAACTCATTTCCTCCGTGGGTCAGATAATTGTTTTCACTATCGTTGTAGATGGTTACTAGACATCCTTGGTAGCACCTTGAAATACCGGCAAAATAAACTCGGTATCTCAGGGATAGGCTAAATTTAAGTAGCCGATGTGCTTGAGAGGCGAGTTAAGGTACGTTCACAGGCTTTTTATATCCTGCAACGCACTACCAACAGCGGTCTAAAGAGGTCTACACCAACGAGGATAGCCTGAATGCACTAAAACCAAGCGATTTGCTGGAAGTTGTTCTGTGATCTGGTTGCTGGACTGTTAATGTTAACATTTACGGTAAAACTATTTGCGTTCTTGACTGTAGAATGACCTCAAATAACCTGGTACTGTGTACTGTAGTTACCAACAATTTGAGAGCTTTAACACCAGGTTTTCACATGTTAGTGGTTGACAAGCAAGGTTGTGCCGAGACACTGGACGGCTTGATCCAAATAGAAGCGGCGTCCAGCGTAGGTCTCCGTCATCGACATACCTAGTCTTGAAGCTTGAAAGAGTGAAGCTTCCTACGTCGGTCCGATGCTCATAAATTCTACGACATTGGAGATGCATATGCTGCATTTTAGCCTGACTATGTTCTTTCTCAAACACCAATTTTAACACATTATCCTTGACTAGGCAATTACTCACATTTATGGTGAGCTTTGATTTAAGTAATCCATTAATGTTTAGACGTTCATTAACCTCTGCAGGGCTGGCGTAAGATATTCTTCCAGAAAGTTTCCTTCGGCTTCCCTGGCAGTCCTATTTCATAGTGCCCATTAACCAGATGCTTCATTTCAGTTATCCAACTGTACTGTCTCCTTCATGGATCAAAAATCATCAAATTTCTGCTGACTCAGCGTTGCCACCAACGAACTATCAATCAAATTCTCCTTAAAGTCTCTATGCAAGAGGATGTGGCAATTCAGATGGGTGGACTATGTGTTCGAACCGTCAGGAGCGCAAAGGACTCTCCCTGAGAAGGGGGCCTGAGTATCACAGCGGTACAGGGAGTTTACCACTGCATCCCCGGGTGCGAATCGTCGAAGTAAACAATATCCCTTAACCCATTGATTGAGAATTCGGCAAAATTGGCACAAATATGACAGTTTGCAGCCGTATACCTATCTGAAACGGTAAAGCAGAGCAACAACTCTTTGGTTTGCTTTCGACTCACTGGTCTGTTTGTGGGCTCCAATGCATCGACAGAGTAGTCCATGAAGATAATGGGGTCAGAGTAGCTGAAGTTATCTGAAAAACTGCAGGTATTTTGTCGCAAAATGCGATGTAGACCAGTTAGAGCAGCATCGCATCCTAGTTTAGAAGCCCTTTCATTGGGCCATCCACTCTGTGGTTTATCCGGCATTCTCTGAACAATGGCGCATAGCCATACACGCGTTCAGATCTGATTGGCATGTAAGATGCTTCAAGGTGGCTGAATAAAGCTTCATATCATCGGTATGTTTTACAAGCACTTTCGTTTCAGAGGATCCACGAATGGAATTTCTGGTGATGGGGAGTGCATTTCCAAATTGGCGTTTGATTATTGAAGGCGCGTCTACAAATGTCCTCGGGGTTAGAGGATTGTGCAGAGTCGAATGGCTTTGACAAACGCATGTCCATGCATCTAAATAAGGTGACCTGCCGTGCTTATGGCTACAATTTAATGAAAGCCTTTGCAATGAAGTTGTATGGATAAAAAGTGGGGATTCGTTGAAACCTCAAGCCGAAATGGCAGGGTGTTGCAGCAGGGAGAAAGTGGGCGTAGTGGAGACAATTTAGTCTGGCAGACTGCTGCGGTGGTGTTAGTAAGCAAGCTGTTACTTCACTGGGTGAAGAGGGTCATAGTTCACCGCATAGAGAAAACTGGAATATCCACAGCCAGGTGAGCAAGTCATTTACTAATTCCTCTTCCTTAAAAGGGATATTTACAGTTCAAAATCTGCATGAGGGTATCGAAACTTGCCTTAAATGTGGCAGCATATATATCTGTACATTTCTTGGTAAATTCTTTATTTCGAAATACACTTTTAATCAAGAAACAGTTAATTTTGACCGAAAAATTTATTAAGAAAAGTACTAACGAAATCCAAGCATTTTTCGTAATTTATGTATATCTTTTCCTATTTTTTCACGTTTCTGTCAAAGAATGGCACTCACGCTGCAAAGTAGAGGTAAAGTCACCTTCCATTCCATTCTTTCTCGTACATTCATGCCCACTCTCTTTTTTTAGTAGTCTTCTTTGCCACTATTCATTGTGATGAACGCTGATACTTTTCTCTGTCCATTTATGACAGTGACAACCCGAGATGTTACTTATGCTATTTTGTGCTTCATGACCCTAACTAGTTTACACACATTACTCGTATAGAACATGGAATCTGGTGGCAAAACACCCCAGCAAGGAGACCCCTAATATTTTATTTGTCGCGGCTAGCTGGGTGGGCAGCCATTCTTTCGAAGAAAAATAGCAGCAGTAGCGTGCGACAAAAAATGGAAGTAGTGCCTTCTTTTGGTACTACAGACAACAATGGTAGCAAAATCAAAGAAGGAAAAGGAAACCAAACTGAGCAAAATGGGTAGAAGTCACTGATTGTACCAATTCTGCTAAAGTCATTTGCCATGACGGCGATGTAGAATAATGTCCTTTGCTCTTTGTGGGATCTATGCACGTTTCTTCATTTTCATCACCAAAATAACAGAATGGTCTCTAATTAGTAGTTAGGATGTCTGGGAAGCTATGAAACTGCATGCTGATTACTCCAAAGGAAAGCTTAGGAGCAGTTAGGCTAAAACATACAATAAGGCAAGTCTTAAAAGCCATATATATCGGCAAAAATATAGACTTGAGAATATCGGAAATGCAGTCAGTACGTATGCTGATCCTCATTGGTGTGCCTGTTACACTGTTTCTTCTTTTTCCAAATTCGAAATCTGTACCCCGAGAACCTCTTATCGCTCATCTCAGCATCCGTATTTGGCATTTTAACATTGCCGCAGTGCATTTTTACAGGAAAGTGAACATTTAAGAAAGTAAGTAAGCCTTTTGCGTAAGATTAGCATAAGGCTCATTTTCATATAAAGGCCTTAAAAACCACTTGATTAAGGGATTTGGGCGTTCATTTTAAGAATGGAGTCTATTTTGCAAAAGTATAGATTCGCACTATTAACGAATCAGTATTTGATTAGAAGTGGCTGCCTGATCACTAGTGCTTTGTTAAGCTACTTAAATAGATATAAGTAGCAGAGCACGGCTAAAGAATTTATTGGCGATCATCTTACACCATTTACAGAATTAATTTAAAACTCAAAGTTTATTAAAAGACTGCTTGACGCGTACTTAAGTAGCGTGAACTCTACCAAAAACGTCTTTATATGGGGCACCGTTAGGATAGATGTTTAATTTTTAAAGTTGCTGGGTTGATGGGGACTCGGTGCTTTCACCTCTTAAAATACGAACACTCTTTCCTTAAAAGTAGAACAAATGGCTCATAAATAGCTGCGTAAGTTTATCAAAATGTTATAAATTTAGAGTTCTCTAAACCGAGGAGTACCGTTAGTGAGCTAGCCAAAACAATCATAATTTATGTTTCTTATTTGATAACCCTTTCCATTAAAATCTGATCATGAACCATAGGTTATCACTCACAGGATTTAATTTGATCAAAATCAAGGCCAGAGGATTAGGTGATTTAGTGTTAGTGTTAGTGGCTGCAGACTTGAAGTAAATGAGAGCTACTGCAATAATTGAGATACCTGGCAGATTTTAAATTAAGGGGTGCAAAATATATTAATATAAAAGTATTACCTTTTTTCCGGCAACTTTTTAAAGCTTGTTAGACCCTTAAATATGTATCTCGACAGTTACTTTGTTATTACTTACAATGGGGTAGTAGAATGATTATTTCTGCTCTTCTGTCTCCGCCTGTGCAGCCGCCGTTTCATTATCTTGGAATTAGTTCTATCCCTGTAATTTCTTTAGGCTTAAAAGGGATTTATCACACCTTTATGTATAACCCAAAGCGGCTTATTATTGGTAGAGGCAGAAAAACAATCTAAACGAGTAGCAGATATGACCCAATTGGCTAAATAAAAGGTTCAAGTGTCGCAAAAGGAGGACAACTGCCGTAAGAGCTTGGCTTTGTGGTGAAACAATAGGAATGTTAGCTATTGGGATAACGATACCAAAAACTGCACAAAACGCTTTTGCCAGAACAACTAACATAAGGAAATATGTCTTGATAGGTCGCCGTAATCAACAATAGGCTACGGCTTGAGCAAACATGTCTTATTTGCTTTGCGATGCGAAACCACTATTTTTGCGCTTATGTAGTGAAGTGAGGCATTAATCAAGATCCTTTTCACCGCAAGTCTTCCTAAAGTTATGAGGAAAATTATTAGAACTGTTAGCCAAAATGATAGTCCTCAAAAAGTAAGGCAAAACTAAAAAAGGTGGATTACTTTTAAATTTTATCAATCTTTCGAATTTCACTTTTTCTTTGTGCCTGAAATCAGAGAGAAATTCTGGTTCTCTTGAAGAAATTTGTTAGCAGAAAGTCACTTAAGGCATATAGGCTGAATGCAGTACACTGTCTTATCTGATAGTCAAAAACAGTATTATTCGACTATTTTACTTGATAAGTGCAATGAAATCCCACCGACCTGCCTTGAGTTACCGCAAACAAAACGACCTTCTCAATTAGCTACTGCTTAATAGTGAAGTAAAAGCAGTCATTATTAAAAAATCCACAACTTTTAAAAGCTGTACAACTTTATGCATAATTTTGTTAGCTTATAATTTAAAAATGTTGAAACCAAAGGATTATGTCATTTTCATTGTGTGGGCTCTTGCATTGAACAATTAATTCCTCTTAGTTTTTAATTCAAAGACTAAAATTTTATAGGACGAAGCATTATTTATCATTACAACTTGGAAAAAATTAAAAAAGTGCCCTAACTTAAGGGATCCGTAGTTATATAAAATATATGTGACTCGGATTTCATCAAAGCATATAATCATTTGCGAACTTTTGCAATAGGATCAGTGTTACTTTTTTTTGATTCAGTTGTTTCACCAGCGGATAAAGCAGATGGATTAAACGAGACCATGTTTACTTCGGTACCGGTAAATAAAGGGGTACAGATATCACGGCTAAGCGTGTTCAATGTACCCCTTCTCCTAGGGAGCCAATGGCATCAGATCATTCACGAGGTTCACATTTGCTGGTATCCAAATAAATATTTATTTAAGTTATGTTACAATTCTGTTTGAATCAGCGACATTTGCTGTTGTAGTCTAAAGTTTCTGTGTGTGGGCACCTATCCTATTGTACTGCCAATTGGGGGAACTAGTAGACTGAGAAATCTATACAGACGCCTTTCTTTACCGAGGAGTAAGATACAATAGAAGATAGCGGTGTGTGCTTACGTGGGTGCTAGTGGGCTGATAGAGGCTCGGGATTGTTCACTAATCGCATATTTCCAATGCTTTAAATAGCGTTGACTTTATCGTGATTATAAGTCTGCATAGAGTAGGTCAATAAGACAAACTCAGAGAAATCCCAAACATGAAGTAGACCGGAACGTCCGAGTATCATATTCGCAAAAGAATCTTCGTAAAGTTTATGGCGGGTCCTTATTCTGGGTTCGTATATGCACATAGCAATCATGTGAAGTTTAATTAAAAGGGGTAAATAAAGAAGAGATATTTATCAGCCTAAATATTAACTTTACTTTCAAATGGCTACGTTTGTACGGAGTTTGTTGCTAAACCAATGTTACATAGATATTTTGAAGAATATAAACGTTAGATGAAAGCTGCAAAAGCTTAACTTCAAACCCACTACTCTTGTACAGGGCTTTTTCATAATGATTTAAAATAGGCGCTAAATCTGGAATCAGGAATAGAGAGGTCAACCCAACGTGCTTTCACGCACTGACGTTTTATTAAAAAGGTGCCAATAAAGGCCAATTTGTAAAGTATAAAGGCGGTCAAGGTTGGAGAGGGTGAAAAGTCGCCTTTCGTTTATAACGATGAATAGAGAGGGTCGCAATGGCAAGAGGAGGGGGCGGAAGACCGCAGCAGATGCATCAGTGACAGTGCGGTGGGCTAAACTCATGAGAAGACTGAAGACCCTATAAACAAACATCTCAAAGAACATTAAAGAAGTGCCACACCATCACAGCCTCAGTAACATTTGTGTACCAGTGGTATCAACACTATCATTCATTGTTCCGGGGTGCATTATCTTCAACCCGGCGCCTCCTCCTCATGTTGGCATGACAGCAGACATCTCTAGTCACAACTAAAGACCAAGCCCCACTCAAAAAAAGCATTGGTTCTCCAACACTACTCTTTACCAAGTGTTAGAAGTCAAAAGTATGTGACCTCTGTGTGTCAAAAATAAAATTCTTAAGACATCACAATGTCTGACACGTATGGAACAAGCAACTGGCTCAAACTCCATTCTTTATTTAGCTTGTGAACACTAGAACAGGTGGCCGAATTCACCCAAAACTACCCCTCATACAAATTTCCAAAGCTGTAAGCTATGTTATTTATCTAGATGACTTTTTTATGAAGTAGTTTTTTTATCAGATTATTACACCAGGAAAAAGAGGTTATGAGAGGTGGTTAGAACCTTTATAAATCCTCATTAAAATATATCTCAGGATGGATAGATAGAGAGCAGATATCCATTTCTGTCTTTTATGAAACTCGAATGTTTTCCCATACTCACACTGAAAAGCGACTGAACAACGACTGTATGAGAAATCTTTAGTGTCAAATCATCAACAATGCTCTGATTACCTAACTACCAAGTGATATCAAATGCCAATGGATCTTTATTGCACAATCCGTCCCTATTTTTATACATTTAAAGGTTGTGAGCATGGTCATTCCTTCCAGAATGTGTCTCAAATAAAGCAGTCTTATTTACGAAGCGCAGATTACCAGACTTAGAAGCTTTTGCTATCATTTTTTGGAAAACTGTGGCACATACCTTTGAAAACTACTCTATTATTTTAAGTCAAGCCAAGACTTATTTTGAGTAGCGGAAATTTCACTTTATCTTGAAGGTCTCCTGCTTTATTGGCGCACTTCTCTTATAGATAGGTCTTCGATTTCATCAAGATCAGCCTCGGACACTCAATGATCATAATTAACAAGAATGGACTTTCCTACGGAAAGATTAATCTTTTGCAAACTCTCATGGGAGGATGTGCATCCGCAGTCGCTAATGGTGGGATTCCACGTAGAGAATGTCTAGAGGGTTGGTGGAATTTCAACCACTAGGGGGAGAAGCACAGCTAGGGTATGGTCGTCTTTAAAGCGCTTATACCCTACAATTCAGTTTGGCTTCTATTTACCGCACTGTGCTTGAAGTCTAAGAAAAGCGAATGCTTAAGCTTTTCTACTTTCATTAACAAGAAACTTGGTTTATTGGTACGTGACTTTTTATGCACTCACAAAATCTAAACTAAAGTACGTCAGAGTGTCTGTCTATTACCAATAGTCTGGTTTGACACTGGCTGGTGGGGTAAGCCACCTTGGAAGCGTCCTTTTGTACTTGCCAATTTAAAATTTTTAATATGGCCCATATGTCTATTTTTGGCATTTTTGCGAAACTGAGCGTTTGTGTCGTAGAGTTGGACACTGGGTCAGATGGTAAACGTTGCGTAAGGTCCTGTCAAGTCCTTGATATTTGGCTCAGTGTTGGAGGGGCCTAGCGAGAATGCAAATGTGGGGTGGAAAAGGGCGCATGAACTTAAATTGGATTATTTTTGCACAAGTTTAACTGCAAATCAGATGTCATCGGTGCTTTTAATTTCCTTAATTAACTTTCAAAGTGGTCTTAACTTGTACAGTTCTCTAAGTACTTTTGTGGATCTTACACAAAACCACTTTTATTTACAGCTTTACTTACGAAGGTGCATTTGCAGAGGTGTCACGCCTCGGAACTTTCCTGAAGACGAGAGAAGACATAATACCGAGGCAGAATATGTATTATAGACGAGCAGTAGGTCTTTGGGGCCGCTTCCAAGGTCCGAAGGCTACCCCTTTGGGCAGAGGCACTATGGCGGAGACAGAAATTTGCCCGTTACCCAAACCGAGAGTTAAAGAAACAGCACACTACGAAGGTACGACGTAATCATAGACCAATTCACACCACTTTCTACAGATGCCATATGTCTCCACATACCCGATTATCTATCTCCTCAATATTTTTAGCGTCAGCCAATTATTACTTATTTTGCGCTCTACTTAGCTGTGCAAATTAACGCCATTTGATTGCAAATCACAATAATTTACAATGAAATCGCATGTATAAATACCTATGGGGGCGGTACAATGCACAAAATGTATTACCTACCAGTTTTGGTAAGCGATTGAACCAAATATTATGCCGCAAGTGGATGGCTTAGGCTAAAAACAGCAAAATAGATGGGCAGAAATCGGCTAGTTGATATTTTTAGAAATTTCAGAATATCAGTTAACTGAATTAGTGACTGGGCTTTTTCCTCAATGGTTTTAATCAATTGCTACATTTGAAATCAGCCAATCAGAAATCGAGAAGTCAATCACGAATGCATGCACCCTCCGACACATTCCATCAGCAAAGGTCGCCTTGTAATGTATAAGATCGATTTGGGAAAGATTTAACAGTCAAAGACTGGAATTCCCTTTGACACTTTATTATTGGACAAAGAAAGTAATTCACCAAATTAATGCCATTGAAAGAAAGAGAGTAATTGTTTAATTACAATATGGTAATTACTGGTCTCCATGTTATTAAAGCTCATCAAAAGGTACGGCTCAGTGATGCAATAATTGAAACGACTGGTGTAACTAGATGAAAGATGGAGGCAGCAAAAGTTCATGCGCGTTAGGGATAAATTGCTTAAAGCAGCTCTAACAAACTTGGACCCAACTTCCGTACTGACTATACATTACCATAACGATACGCAATTTCATGGAATATTTGACTTTCCGAACCATTCCAGCCTCTCGTAATTTGAACATGATGCTGTTATGGTGGAGACCCATTCACATTGCTTAAGCTCCTAGTCACCTGACACTTTCAGTGTCTTGCTGATAGGGGTACTTTTACATTAAAACAACTTATAAAACCATCATAGCTGGTCTAGTTGCTGCGATGCCCAAGGAATTCATCACTTTAAGCAGTCTATTGCCTTAGTCTTTCAAAATCACAAGCATAAATTTATTTTTTAGATGGGGGACAGTGATCTTTGCCAAAAATTCCAGTCTGTGAAGTCTACTTAGTCATTTTGCTAACAAAGTTAATGATCTGCCAAAATCCGAGAGAAATTTATTCATTCACCTGCCTGTTAATCCCCACTTCTCAGTGAGAACGTTTTCACTACCTTGCAGCCTTATAAAACCTACAAATTTTGGGCATTTTTAGTGTTCATGTAGTTACTTCTGTACTGCTTTTTTTCACATCATTATCATAAGAAAACCAACTTGCAATCAAAGTTACCTTAATGATTCGAGATTAGTCAAGCTTCTACCATGGGCTTGAGCCCTCAAAACACTTTATTTTAGTATCTCCTAGGCATTTATTCACTGCAGTCAAAACAACTATCAACATCAACATTCCCGCATGAAACATCATCCCGATGGACTATGCTTTGGCATACAACACCTCAGAACTTGACCTGCTTAGAGGCAACTACATCTATTACAAATAATAATCCTGGCTAACAAACTATTCTGGCCATGAAGGTAGCCTTACCGAAACCTCACCGGCCGGTTGAGATCTTATTGAATCGCGGTTAGTGTTCTACTGAACCGGTCTTTTTCACTACCAGAAAAACATATTGGTGGCTGGTCTTAGGACGTTTCTGAAGGCCTACCAAGGCATACCAATACCGAAAAAAGTTATTTCTTTTTTAATGTACGGGTAGGGTGGGAGGATATAGGAGTGGAGTAATGATCACGCTATTAAGAAGGACCCGAATGATTAAATCTTGATTAAAATAGTTACAAGTTTAAAAGAACCCGCTTCTCCATTTCGCCATCATACTCTTCTAGTCCTTCCTCACCGCGGTTGCCCATTCGCTCCTGCCAACAACAGCTGGACAGCTTCGAAGATGACATGATGGAGTCACATCATAAAGGAATGCTACCTCTTAGTAGCAAAATCGTATTGTCTGGAAGAAATGCTGCATTGGAGAATGATTGCTTCTTGTGTCAGTGTCCAACACTGGACTATATTATACAATGAGCTTATTGGGCACAACAATTGCTTTTAGCAGTAACTTGTAGTAACCGGTTAGCAAAATCATGGCTGTTCATTTGTAGTGGGCATCCCTCATCACCATCACCACTGTTGCCTAAAATGCGCAATAGGAGATGACAGGATGATGAAAACTTGATATTAATTTAGAGATGGTCTTCAAGCCATAAGAATGAACGAATGTCCATGCATCCAAGTTGGTGGATAAACCCGCAAAGATAAAATAACCTACATATTCACTCAGATAAACAGTTAAAAGCAGCCTTTTCCAGTTTTGGCTTCATATAGCTAAGAATAATAATTGTAATAACCAAAATTACCTTAAAATAGTAATGACAGATGTTTGAGGAGGTTATGCGGGGCTTAAAATCTCTCATAGAGTTGATTCACACCGGGATTGCTGAGAGACGAATCGGTAGGCTAGTAGCAAGCCATACCTTTCTTGAGGGTGTCTACATCATTTCGGAGTGAACTTTGAAACGCTACTTGTCTGAAGCTCGTTGGCTGGGCGCGTTAGCAGAAAAGTTAGGATTTAACCATACAGGAATGAATAAATGGAACACGCTTACAGCATTTGTTATGGATTTTGACAAAAACTGAAACCTGAAAATAGCGAATAGGCTTACAGAAGCTCTAATTTCGAAGCTTGGTGCCTTTCTTATGCCGCATTTAGAATGCTTTATCATCATTACCATTCCAAAGATCAGTGGTTGTTTCTAGTCTTGTAAGAAACCGCATATCACCGTCGCATACAAGGTACGTGCGCACTGTACTGGTATGATAGACATATTGCAGGGGTATAACTGGCACCAATAACCTATCCAGTCTCCCAAGATTCAGCTACCTTGCTGATAGGGTAGGGCTATGCCCGTCCTACCCAGGTCTCTATCCCATTAGGTAGAGTACATTTTATTGGTGTAAACCCATTCAAAATCATATGCCTCAAAATTTCTTTAATGACAGTGTGGATGTCACATTTGTGGCAGCATTGGCTAAATTTAACACAAAGAGCAGCAGTTTTGGCTTTACTGAGACAGTTCAGGTCTATTGTCTCTTTGAGGCTCGATCTTTTGTCATATTTGAATAAATTGCCTCCATTACCATTGGTATTTACTTGAAAACCGTAGATTACGATCGTAAGCTATTGACCTCATGCCACCTTGATCGAAGAGATTCAAGGGATTGGGGTACTTACTCTAAAACAGATTTCCTTACTCGATTCGATTCCTCTGTCCTCTGTGAACATGATTATCCTCAGACACACTTACAATAAAGAAAAGGTCAATTTTGAATTTGTTGGCGTAAAACATTATAGTGAAAGTGTGGGATATTTGAATGGTAGGATTTGGTAAAACTCAAGTAAAGTGAAATAAAATTTTGGACATCCGCATACCCAGAAGTCCATTTTACATTCAGTAGTCGGGAATTTTCTAAACTGGAATCAAAAAATCATTTTAAGAAGTGGTTTGCTAAAGGGCAATCACCTACGTCCACAGTAAGATTATTAACATACTTATTTCCATTTTTCTCACAAATTCCACTTTTTAAAGCTTTAGCTCTTAAGGAGAACTTAGCCACCTTCATTTTCCGCTCATTTATGTCCCAACTACCCATTTTGTGTTTGAATGCCTAATGTAATGATAGAAATGCTCCCAAATTCGTAAACCTACCATCCTTCTGCCCTGTTAGTTACCCACGTTTTTGACCTGAGCACCTTTAACCGATTAACTTACTACAGGCTATGGTAGAGTTTGGGTAGATATTCAGTCAAGATTACGTATTTAGTTGCCTTAGGTGCATAATGAGGCCAAGGATATGGTAAATCTCGTGGAAAAGACAAAAGTGGAGTCGGTCACCTCAAGTACTCCGGCAAGATTAAGGATGTGGTAACAGTAATCCACCTACTGAAAAAAAACGATAGATTAAAGGAGTCTTGTGATTCATATGCCCGTTATATGGATTCCCTTCTCAATTCTTTGTTTCATAAAAGCAAGTTTTGAAGTCTATTACGGCTTTCAGCAGGTTAGTAAAGGAACCTATATTGAAATTCAGCACTAGGCTCATCGCAGTGCTCCATCCAACAAGGTGTAGAATGGAAAAGATCTTCAGATTGTTCACCAACGTAGTGGCTGAGACGTGGATACCAAACTCCTTCTTAGTGAAGATATGTGCAATTTGAAGTAACGCCAGAAGCAACAAACAGGTTCTTATTTGCTTCAGAAAGTGAGTTAATACACCAAAGAATAGGGCTACGGGCTTTATTTACACTTCGACTTAAACTCTGTTCACATATCGTTGAGTTGATTAATGATGGCTTGAAAAACATCTTGTGACAGTGGCAAAAACGATGTCGCGGCATTTTAGTCATCAGAATATACTTTGGCAAGTTGTGACTGGTTAACGGGACTAGTGATGTTGGAATCTACAGCAGAGACTACCAGTGACGGGTAAAAAATGGCTATCGAAGGCTCTTCGTCGACCTATTGCCTTATCTTTTTTGATAATCTTGGAGATTTAGGATTACAGTCGATGTCAGTGGATTTAATTCCATTAGCTTCTAGTTTAGTTAAAAGTTGCGATTTGTAAGCAAACCAAAAATTCCTAACAATTGAAAGCATTTTTACTTAATTTTTAAACTGTTGAAAGAAGTAATTTACAGGCTTTTCCTAACGCCTCATCGAAGAAACTGCCAGGTAATACCGAAGCAGAATAAGAAGTCTATAGGAATAGAAGTAACAGGTCATTACGTATGTTTTCTGCTAGTGGCAAGAACTCCGACCTAAAAGCAGGGTCATTTAGCAAAGAACGAGATCGAAATAGTTTTGGGTGGTTAGGGTTTCGCGTCTATTCCTCCTTGCCTCTTTGTTCATGCTTTAGTCCTCTCAAGCCATATCTATCAGGGTTTCATTCATTTGATGTAGAAGTGGAGAAGGCATCCAGTTTCCACTTGAACGACATCCTCATTCGGGTACCGCAGGCATTTATGCAACGAGCATTTTAGATCGTTCGCGGCTAGTGTCGCTTCATTCGTTAAAAGCCTTCCCACAGAACACAAGAACTAAATAGTTGCGAAGGGTGGACTTCATTTTCAACTCCTTTGCCGAGAGTCTTCACAGATTCTTCCATCAGCAGCACATGCTGATGATGTTTCGTATACAGGGTAGTTGCACTTTGGATTTAATAAGGTGGCTCAGTTTCACTAAAAATGTAGTATGCAGGGCCAATTTTGAAGACGATAGAACTTGTGATACTAGAGCGTAATACGTTTTGTCGATGTACGGAATGACTGAAGGGCTACTACCATGGCTTGGGAGCCATGCCACCAAGAGGAAGTACAATTTGCAGAAACCTGAATGCTTACGTAGTCATACTCGAAAACTTGAAAATGTATGCAAACTTGAGTTGATAGGCTTACATTTATTACAAAACCTTGTTTTTAAATTCAAATACCTACTAGTTCATTAGTGAGGTCGTTTTGTAGTTCAACGAAATCCGAGCGAGGAAATGAAATTTTAATCTTTAGAACCAAAGTCGGCAAATCGGCCGTTATCCATTATATATACCGAGTTTATGGTATAGGACAAGTGTAGCCTCTGAGGTAGGGTAATATCGTCAAAAATACTTATAACAATTATTTCCGAGATGCAAAACCCGTTAGCAGCTTTCATTCCTTCATGATAGCAAAAAACTTAATTTCTATATCCTAGTCATTGACAATCAACCGAATTGCCGTGCGGTTCTACCAAAAGGATGATTATTTCTTAGATCACAGCATTAATACAACCACAAGTCGTTTGTTTAAAGTTTGCTTGAGTTTCTTGATCTGGTTTTGAGTAACGACTACCTCGGTTATAACAATACTGAGAATAATTTCCCTCCCTTTATGAAAAAATATATCCTAGGTTGGCAGAGGTGGTTGATTTAATCATAAGGCACTCGCGGCCAATGTGTTTAGCCACTTAAGATATTAATCTACGTGACAAAGAAGTAAACAGGTCAAATTTTTTTCCGTAACGTTTAGAGGAATACCTTACTCCTCTTACCTTACCCATCGTAATATTCTCACGACTCGGAAACGTAATGTAACAGCAGCACCCATCACCACTTTCGAGGCGGTTTTCAGCTGACCGTATCTCCTTTTTAACGTGTGGGCACCTAGACATGCATTCACGTGGATTTGCGACATTTAGAAGGCTTGATGATATTCATCCCTATCCTGTTCCCATCGACATGGCTACCTCCTTTTCACCTTTTCCACCTCTCCGTCGTCTTTCCCCTCTCACTAGCTTTTTGCTTTGGCATCAATTGTCAGCCTTTACAATTCGTCGTTATTTTAGTCAGGGCTTGCTTATTTGCCTTCATTAAGTTATTTTAGATTCAATGCGAGCTATGGTAGTTAATCGCCTCCCAATGGCAAATCATCAGCAGTTTGACAAAGTGAATCCTGGTGCCTACGCTCTTGTGTTTCTTGAAAAAGGCTATTGAACGTGATAATCCATAAAATTTCTCAGTATTCTCAGATGCAACCTCGCATTTAAATAGTGAACATGGTCAAAATTCGTTTTTAAAAGGTGAATATTTGACTAGAGTTTCACATC